TAATATAGATTTGTCGCAAGATTTCTTACGTAAACGTGAGAGTCTGAAAGCATGAGTGTCATGCCAGATGCGTGAATTGACAGTCCTGTAAATACAATTGTAAAGATATATAATTTCGGTCAGATATTTAAATATCTCCCTTAGCCTAAGTGTATTTGACTGCTATAGCTTGTGTTATAATATGTTTCTTTTGTTGTGCTTGGCTCAACTTAAAAATCATCGTTGTTAATATACAATGTTAGTATTGTGATATTTTCATTATTACTTTGCCTATTGGATATATATTAATATTAATTTAAAGTAAAATAGCTCTCGGGTGTTTCAGATGTAATATGATGGGGAAGTCATCTGACTGGGAAGCTCTTGGGCAGTGAGGCTGGTCTGGGGAACATCCATGTTTCAGACCACGATACCGCAGTAGACTGCATGAGAGATTTTGATGTAGTTCATTTTATTGCCACTAGGGTGTAGCCGTTCATAAGCAATTGTTTAGGTGGCATCATATAAAGTGATGTGTTGCAGCATCAGCACAGACCACTGCAGATGCTCACTTCCTGGAATATACATCTACTTCTCAATGGTACTGAATAGCCATTCTGGGGTTTTCCGAGACATACATCCCCAATCCACTATCTATATGCTCCCTGTTCCAAAATTCTGCCTTGACAATAAATGGTATTGTATCCACAGGCAAAACGAAAGGAGGATGGAGATTTTAATTTGGAAGGAGTCACAAAAAAACATATTATATAATATCATTGCATCTTGTTTTCCTGGTTTTTCTGCTAGAATCTGTAAGTTGTTATTGAAAGAGCTGTGAATTTACACATTGGTAACTCAAGAAGAATATGGAATGAGTGGCATTCCCGGTTGTTAAAATGAGATTTTAGTAATTTCTTGATTTGTCTGATTTTTCTTTACCAATCGTTTGTAAATTACTCCAGTTTTAGCTTCATTGCACTGGCTGCCAGTGCATTTTAGAGTTGATTTTAACATTTTGGTTAAAACGTTGAATGGTCTAGCACCAGATTATCTGAGTGAGCTTATCCATCTGTACTGTCTGAGTCGAGCATGAAGGTCTTCTGACAAGCTTCTGCTTTGTGGCTCAAAATGTCAGTTGCGGCTAAAAGGGAAACACGCTTCCTCTGTGGGTGGGTCGAGATTGTGGAACAGCCTGACCCTACATGTTGGAACAGCACCCTCCATTAAATCTTTTAAAGCTAGATTCAAAGCACATCTATTTGCTGAAGCTTTTAGAGTTTGTTAGAGTCATCTGTATTTGTGTTGTGTGGTTTGAAAGTTTTTCTTTTATTTTTTCAATTTTTTATTTGGTTTATATATACACACACACACTGTATGGGTACAGTTAAAATGTGAACAGAAATACTGACTAGATGTGACTTAAAGTCTAATGTGGGTTAAAATTCATTCTAACCATATATGTAGTTAATGTAAAAGAAATACGACGTGGTATCTATCAAATCCTGATCTATGGCAGTGTTTCCAGAAGTCTTCTGCTTAGTGGAATTTGTATATTGTTATTAGCAGTCCATGGTACAGATGTCTGTTAACTAGGAAGTGAGATATGACGATAATGGTGGGAATACAGCTGTATTTAGAGAGTAAGCAAAATGGACGTCGCCATCTTAATTCCCACTGATGTTAAGTGAGACCAGTTTCTTGGCAGAAAATATGAATATAAGTTTTGTGCTTTGAAAGTGACTTTGGTGTGATTGTCAGTGTGTCTTTAGTGGCTCCCTTAATATACAGTACAAGCGCTTACTGATGACTGATCTCAGACAAAGACTGTGAATTCATTGCCTCATTTTTATTCATCATGAATCATGGATCTCCTCCTCGCCAGGCATTTTTAACAGTGCTTCTTCTCGACCCCCCACCCCCCATCAGCACTTTTGGATGAGAGTCCACAGATGCACCTGGTTACTCTGCACGGTGTCTTCATGGCAGCAACTGCAGCATTGTAATAATGGTAGGGAACAGAGGAAGGACAGTGAAGAGCTGCTGTGCTTGCCGTACATTCAGAAAAAGAACAACATCTGGCCAGCGTCCTTCAGAGTCAGCTGTACCAACACTCTAGTTCAGGGGTGGCCAATCTTATCCACAAAGGGCTGGGGTTTTGCAGGATTTTGCTGCAGCTCCCTAATTATATTACTAATTAGAGGACTGATTGGCTGAGGAGTCCTCACACCTGGGTTTGAACAGCTGACCTAAAGGTTATCCCAAAAACATGCATATACACCGGTCCTTTGCGGATAAGATTGGCTACAGCTGCTCTAGTTGGTCTGTATGTGCCTGAGACCAATCAGACCCCATCTCTATGATTGGGAAGAATAAGGGAACAGAAGAATGAACCAGGCTTAAGGAAGAGAACAGAAAGGTGGTAGTTATTTGGAGCTCCCGAATTTACATATATTAGCATGATCATCTTACCATGCTTCAAAACGGTAATCAAATGTTGGTTTATACCAGGGGTCTCCAACTCCGGTCCTGGAGAGCTACTATCCAGTAGGTTTTCTGTCCCACTTGGCTACTGATGAGCCACACCTGTTCCTGGTATTTACCTGAGAACAGGTGTGGCTCATTAGAAGCCGGGTTGGATAGAAAACCTACTGGACGGTAGCTCTCCAGGACCGGAGTTGGAGACCCCTGGTTTATACTATATATAACCATAATATTCACATGGTGTTATTTGACACAATTTTTTTTTCTTTATTTGAAGTGGAGATGCTGACAGTGTGTCACCTGAAAGTTAAAACATTTCTCAAAGATTGCCCAAAACTTTATTTCTTCAGGAAATAAATGCATGGCTTCTAGGTTTTTAATGAGAAAGAAGTATAGATATTTACTGTAGTATTTACTATTTGATTCAGTATTCTCTGTGTGAGATGCAAACATTAAAAGCACTTGTGCGTATAGGCTGTACTGGTGTATGCGGTTTTAAACATGGTGTTATTTGAAGTAATAGTGAGAAACAGATGAATAATGGAGCATGTAGCTATACCTGAGTCCACTGTACAAATGGCAAAAATTGCGTGCGTCACGTTTCCAAAAAGACACCATCTTTAACTGCACAACTCGAAATATATTCTTCAATGGAATGTAACATGGATGTGTCCTGAGTACCATGTCAATTAAAAAATTAAATAAACAAGGTGTTAATGAGCTGCTTGAATGAAATACCATGAAATAACCACATTTGAAGTCAATTTATATTTACATTAAATAAAGGAAATGTATAACTGGTCACATGCATGCAAATGCCTAACTAAATATCAATTCTGGGCTGTTTAGTTCAGATTCATACCAAATATTTCGTTGGTATTTCAGGTCCAATTAGGCTGCTTAGATTTCACACTGACAAAGCAAAGCAGGACGAACACTAATGCTAAAGAAATATGTAAATTGTAGCCCTTCATACCTTCAAACCTGGAAATGAGGAGGCCGAGATATTAATGAACTGATTAATTAAAATCAATTATTACAGTATTTCAAAAATATATAATAAATAAAAATGATATAATATTATAAAACTGTAGTGAACTTCCATACAATGCTCAGTGAATTTCCCAGTGAAGGACTGTACAATTTACTCCGCTCCAGCTTTAAAGTGGAAAACCCAAATTTTGATAAATGCGCTTTTCATAATTCTATTTCCTGTCAATAAAAAAATTGGCTAAAAAAATGGCAGAATGAGCAAACGTAAACACAACTATCAGTCACCCTACCTATTTGTAATACTCCCATCCTCACTAGGTAGATCAGGTATATCAAACTGGACCTGACTTCATAAACATCTAAGATCTCTCCTGCTGGAAGATGGCGCAGCTACATAGACTCATCAAACGCCAGGCCATTATAGTTATTAGTGAGTTTTGTGGGAGCCTGGCGGGATGGAGTGTTCACTTTCCTTTCAAAGCCCTTGATCTCTTTCCCTACCCTTTTCGGAGCTCACTGACACAGGCAGTAAGCCCCACTGGCAGAGAGCTGCTGACTCAGCCCTCACTGCTGCATTTCATGTAACAGCTGCAGTGTTGCCCTTCCCCTTGGAACTGCACTATTTCTTCCACAGAAGCACCTACCGTGTATGTTAGGACTTGTGCGTAAAGACACCACAGACAACACAGACTTAAGTTGATGGGTACTGGGCTAGACTGGGATTAAAAATCGGCCCTGAAGTTTAGGGGCCCCCATGGGCGTAAATTATGGGGGGGATGTAGCCCCCCCCCCCTCCCCAATAAATCAAAACCAGCTAATAAAACCCCCCAATAATCATGTTTCCTCCGTAATGGGTGGAGACCTCAACCCCCCCAATGTTCCAGCCAAAGTTACACCCCCCCAACCCCACAGTACATTTTGCCAAGTGAGGGGGGGGGAGGGGGGGGGGAGTTGTGGTACCATGACAAACTTTGACGACAGACCATAAAAAGCTCTGGTTACTATGATCACCCCAAACCTGCATGCTTGCTCAGTACCTTTGGCTCATCTGCTCCTAACAAAAAAACAAATCTTATTAGTTCAAGCCAGATTAGTTATGTTATTTCCATAACATCATACAGTGATGACTGTTAGGAATTACTGCACTAACATAGTCATCACCACCATTGTCTTCACACTGCTTCTGATGAAGGCTGCGATTGTGGCATAGTACTATAGCAGTTAGCTATACAGGTATTACCTTTTTTGACCTTATTCTAGACCTGGGGAGACCATATTTTAGCCTAGAAACCACTGTGGTTTCAATATTCAGGAGGAAGACAATGAAAATAATAATTCAAATATTGTGTTCATTCCTGTGTCGATCCATCTTTTTCCAGTGAAGGTAGCATGGGGGCCCTGGAGCCTGTCTCGGGTGCATAGGGCATAGGGCAGGGGTACAGAGAGGACATGCAAACTACACGTACAGAAGGGAAACAGGATACAGACTGCCAACCCAGGACAACAGATTCCTGAGACTCTGAAGAAAAAAGCAATACAATGCATAACTGGAAGGCTGCTTTATTGTTAAGAAAAAAGTTCGTGCTCAAATGAAGACATTCGTTCTTAAGTTCTTACTTAGAGTCCAAGTGGTTGTTCAACACACTGTCTCCTCTCCTAAGTCATTATATAGGCAAATGATAACAACAACCAATAAGCACTTTTTATTTTCAGCGAAAAAAATAGCATTTCAATCATGCTACAAAAATAAAATAGTTACAGAATAAATATCAATAGAAAAATAAAGAAACAGATGTCAAAAATGAACAGAAGCCTGAAACAGGTTTAAATGGCAAGCTCCTTTTTCAGTAGCCCAGTGACAAAACAGACTAAGCCATAACTGAATGTTTTAAATGTCCCATGTTGTAAAAAACACCGTCTTACTGTTTGCAGTCTCGTATTGATACGTAATTATGTTACTGGTAGCTGTTTCCCTTTATGCTCCATTAAACTAGTTCCCAAGGCTTAAAGATTTTGGTGTAGCATCAGATTTTTATTTATTTTTTTACCAAAAACAGCAGAAAAAAAGGCACATGCCGTCAAGAGAAATTGCGCTTGAAACAAACTGGACTGAATATAAAAAGTAAATATGAGTGAAACACATAAATATCAAAATTCAATGGCACTGGTGTGCTTCGAGGGAGCCATCGGAAGTACGGACAAGGTCAGCACAAAATTCTGCCATGCCGCGTGAATGAGAGCCGGGATACACTTATGATCTGCTTGTGGGTGAGAGTCGGCTTTCGGGCCAGGAAAGGTATCGTATGTGTGGGTTTCGACGCATGTATGTGTAGGTGAGGGGTGGATGGGCAGGGCAATTTCAGAGATGTACAAAAACGGGGGGGGGGGGGGGGGGGGGGGCAGCGCAATCCTCTCACCATCACCGGCTACACAATCTTAACCAAGCAGCTTGTACAATACTGTGTACATATCATGAGCAACTACTGTCGGTAGTACTGCAGGGGCGAGCAGGGACAAGGAGTAAGGAAAGTGACGGGCCGTATAATGTATATATGTGTGAGGTGTGTGTATACATACACTATATATGTATATATAATATGCATGTGTGTGTTTGTGTATGTGTATATTAGATAGATATACTTTTTTGCTTTTAATAGTTTTTTTTTTTATTGATTCCCCGCTATACTGTGAAAAGTGTCTCAAAAAACCTATATAATCTAACGAATGTGTCACAGTCTATCAAACGTGACAGGGCATCAGCTGGAAGCCATTCTATTGTTATTAATATTTGTTATTAGATTAATAGTAGTAGTTGTATTTTAAATTTCTGTATTTACAAAAGACTATGCATGCCGTTAAAATAAAATTATATATTACATTATTTATAATCTCTTAAAAAGTTCATCCTTAACTTTTCAGCATTTTGTGCCGTTTACAACATAGCCTGTTCTGTACATATTTTTTAATTAATGTGATTACTTTTGTTTTATACATTATATCCTAGATGGGTACAGAAAAAAATGGATGCCATTATTTGTTTTTATGGTTTTCAATCAGAGTTTATTTGGTTCAAGTCGACACCCACACTGATTTGGAGACCTCATGCAGCAACTGGACCAAAAAACTCGAAAGGGGAGGGGGATTCATAAACAGGAAGTGACATCACTGCACAACAGGAAGTGCAAAAGCTCTGGTGTGGTGTGTCTCGGCTCACAGTAAGATGCGTCCAGTGCTCTGTATGCTATTTGGCATTTGTTTGGGATTTGTTTCCTCTACAGAAATATGGCTGTCCAGCAATCATAACACTTATTCAGAGCTGATAGACCCGAGAGGTTTCTGTTGAAACCCCAACCATACACGTCTCACATGTGTGCAGTTTATACAACCACATTTAAGCCATTTCCTGTGATGTCTCATCATTGTACTCACTCCAATCTCCACTATACTCTTACTATAAATGAGTGTATGCAGAGGGGGATAATATCACTATTGTTTTGCTTTGGACAAACTCTCTACGGAAAAATACCAAACAGGTCGTCCAGCGGCATGGCCCATCTGAGGGGCTCAGCCATGACCTTTCGCATGAACTAGCCAACACTACACGTCATGGAAACTAAAATTGAAAGGCTTTTCTTTGTTATATTTAGGTTTCATATTTGCTTGTTCTTAGCTCATAAAAATACTTAAACAAGTTCTCCTGAGAATGGGCGGTAAAGTCTACATGCATAGCATTCAGTCTTGTCATTTGACAATGAAAACAGTTCTCTACTTCTGTTCCTTACAGCATATCCCTGTAATATTCAGGGTTTCTCAGTCAATCTATGGCAGGTCTTGTACAAAAAAGCAAAGCCACCTTGGTTTCTCCTTCTTCATCAGCAACAGCTCACACCGTGCTCCCCCTCTCTCCTGAGCATTCCTGTCATCTAATGCATAATTCTTGTCTTTAATGGAGTTAAAACATAATACCAACTAAATTCAATATTTAAAAAAAGTACAGACAAATTTACCACAATGATATGACAAAAAGGCAAGAAAAAGAAAAACACAGTATTTAAAGGAAAAACAATGAAAAAAAAATTAACAACAGCAATTAGATCCTGTTTTTTAAAAAAGTATACATATCTCAAGGCTGTTACTTTGATATACTCTCTCTCTCAATATTAAGCCTTGGGAGGTATTAAAATAAATGTAAATCAGCACACTATACCCCTAAGTCCTCAACTTCAGCTCTGACCACCACCTTGACATTCCATTATGTCTTCTTACTACAAAAAAAGTCACAAATGACTGGCCAGTAAACTATATTGCTGTATATAAAGGAAGAGGTTGCATACCCAAGATTTACCTTACAGTTTCAGTTATTCCATCAGTGCTTTCCTTCTAGTGTTCTCTACATATAAATGATCACTCTAACCAATCCGACATTCATAATAATCCAGAACAGCAAAATTCATCCTTTTAATGGGCCAGATGTGTTGTTGGAACATCAACTACTGAGGTTTCAATGAAAAAACCTGTCAGTTGATAAGAAAGAATCATAAAGGGTAGGATTTTGGATGCTCTACTCAGCATAGTGTACCATTATCAGAGTAACAATAATCAATTTCTTCATTTTAGTTTTCCAGTGGACAGCCTCAAACTTACAGTCAAGCCACTGTTGTGGTCCAAGTATTAGTGTCTTGTGGACTATGATTATTCATGCAAGATTCCTGATCAAAACATGCCATCATGCAAGTCATTTCTATGCATTGAACGAGAACAATTATTTACTTATTTGGAAATCTGTCTGAGCAAGTCCCCTTCAGCCCAAGTCAAAACCTTAATTAATTCCCCCTTCCCAATCGGTGTGAAAGGCCATGTAGAAAACTTCTTTTGTAATGCAGGTATAACAAAGATAAAATGAGAAGACTTTAGTGACATGGGCTGACTGTTGAATGATTTTTTTCCTCTTTTTCCCATTTTATGCTGCTCAAATAATGTTAAGATGCAGGTATATTCAGCATTGGTCAAACAGAAAAACCTATAGTTTGTTCATTCTCTCATTTTCCTATTTTAAGTTTGCTTTTATTTGATCTTGTTGTATTCTGTCATTTCGGTGTTTCCATTACAGGAAATGACAGACAAAACGCTCCTGAATGCTTAAGAAAGTCACAGCAGGTGCGCTTCTTTGAGAAAACTCTACAGAGGCATTAATTGTGCCCAAGTCCTGGAGGTCTCATCTTTCACGTCTATCCTTCTCCAAGCACCTTTCTGTCTTGTTGCAGACAGTCTCCCAGGAAACATGGTCCACCATCTGCCAGTGCAGAACTCTTTCCTTATTTGTTCAGATCTTTTTTTCCAAATTGTAGTCTTGATGTGACAGTCACACAGTAAGCTGATTACAGTATGTTTGGTTTAAGTGTCTTCAAAGCTGTAAGAAACCGAGCTGCTTCTTCTGCATTGATACTTTTCAGAAGTCTGTAAACAATTCTTTTTGTGTTTTTTTTCTCTTTTTTTAATTGCAAACGAAATTATCTGTACATTTATTTAGTATGGATTCAGGGATTCCTTTTCTCTTGCTTGAATTTATTATCGTTATTGTTAATTCATTTTAACACTTAGATTCCCTGATGTCCTTTTGGTTTCTGCCCTTTTCTTTTCTGCCTCTCCCGTCATTTTCCTCCTGTTTCTCCTTATCAGGTTTTGTTACACTGTCATATGAGGGGAGGGATGCGGTGGAGGGGGTACCCCCTAATTTTTCCTGATTGTTCCCTCCGTTCTCTAGTTTGTTGTTGCCGGCCCTCTGCTTGGGGACGAAGCCCCGTCTAGCCAGGTGGGCACGGTAAGCACGCTGGATAACAATGGCCGACACTTCCTCCTGCTTGCGACGGAGAGTGGTTGTGATGGGCTCATAAGACACCTTGGAAGGGTTTGCAGCCACGAAACGCTCCTCCATCTGCTGCCGCAGCATGTCCAGCTCGCCGCTGTCACCCAGGACGCGCTTGGTGAAGGCAAACAGGATGTCCAGGCAGTGGATGCGATCTCCACTCACCATGGGCATGTCCATGGCGATCAGCTCGATGGTGTTGGGCTTAGGCACCCGCAGCGGGTGTTCCAGCGCATCCGCAAAGTCCGACAGCTTCTCGTAGGCGATGAACTGCGACGCGTCTGGGTCAAACTTCTCCCAAATCTCATAGAAGGTTTCAAAATCATCTTCACTCAGTGGATCCGCACTCTCCTCAGTGGCCACGCTGAAGTTCTCAAGAATGATGGCAATATACATGTTGACCACAATGAGGAAAGAGATGATGATGTACATGACAAAGAAGAAGATGCCAACAGAGGGGTTGCCACAGTCCCCCTTCACTGAAGTGCCTGGGTTCTCCTTGTCTGGGCTGCAATCGGGTGGGTAGTTAAGGATCGGCAACAGCAGGCCATCCCAGCCCGCTGAGGTTGTGATCATGAACAAACAGATCATGCTGTTGCCGAAAGTCTCAAAGTTGTACATGTCATCAATCCCAGCCCCCCTCTTAACATAGGCAAAGTTGGACATGCCAAAGATCGAGAAAATGAACATGACCAGAAAAAGAAGCAGACCAATGTTGAACAAGGCAGGAAGTGACATCATCAGTGCAAACAGCAATGTCCGGATTCCCTTGGCCCCCTTGATCAAACGCAGAATGCGACCGATTCGGGCCAGACGGATCACCCTGAAGAGAGTTGGTGAAACAAAGTATTTCTCAATCAGGTCCGCCAGGAACATACCTATGTTTTGGAAAAGAACATATAAGGAAGAAGTTTAATAAAAAAAAAAAAACATCCAATCGGAATATTTTGTTGTGATATTAAGAAACCAGTAAAAGCATTTTAAAACTTTCATTTTGCTATTATTCTACTATTGCTTATAATTTTAATTGTTAATTTTAACAGCAAATTCTGTATGAAGCTTTTAAGAATTATATGTAATTGAAATACTGAAAACTGTAGACTAAGCTGGGGAACTGAGAATATACATACTGAGTGAAGGTAATACCACAATAATCCCTCCATCAAAACCCAGTCCTTCACTTCACTCACCCACAATTGAGAGGATGACCACAACTACGTCAAAGATATTCCAGCCAATAGTGAAATAGTAATGGCGTAAGGAAAAGAGCTTCAGGACAAATTCACTGGTGAAAGCAACAATGAAAATGAAGTTGATCCAATAAAGAATGTTCTCCATTTCTGCCGTCTGGTCATCAGTTTCCACCATCATGGTAACCATGTTCAGGATGATCAGGATCATGATGGATATGTCGAAAACCTGCTGCGTCACAAAGTCAAACACCATCCCTTGAATCTTGTTCTGGAAGGGTAAGAGTTTCAGAAGGTGCATTGTCAGTTTTTTAGTGATAAGATGTACTGCTCTACAAGGCACACAAATGCTGAAGAAGAAATTAGAGCAAACGTCACTTTAAAATTTAAATAGCAACACATTCTTACAAGGTGTCCATAGACATATACTAAGAACTACAGAATTATAGCACAGATCAATGGAGAAAGAGTATAAGACAGACCGATGGCCTAGGGATGGGCTTTTGTGGTTTCTTGGAGCCCAGTTTTTTCATAGCATTGTAGTATTTTTTCTGTTCCTCTGTCATAAAGATGTCCTGACCTCCAAAGTATAGGGGGAAACAGAAACTAGGTTACAACCTGGGAAAAGTTATACCCCAGATTACTGTGTCCTCGGCCCAACACATATCTGTAATATATCATGGCATCCTCAGTGGCCGTAATGGCAATATTACGTCTTATGCCTAAATGTTGTTTATTTCAACGTGTAATTAATACTCTGAACAGTACAGAATGCTGCATGCTTTTTTAAGAGAAGAGATATCCAAACACACTGAAATCTCCATTTCTTTGTGCAATTTTATGGATATAAAGCAGAGAGGGGAAAAAGCAAGGAGGTCTTATCTTTTTCTTCTGCTGGTTGAAGTTGTCGATGATTACACCGATGAAGAGGTTGAGGGTGAAGAATGAGCCGAAGATGATGAATATAACAAAATATATATACATATAGATATTGTCCTCATAGATTGGTTGATCTTCCACCTGCACACCAACAGAAAACCAAGAGCAAACCAAGACCGTCATATCAGGAATGCTGGAATATGAAGATAGAGCCCTAAGACATTTCCAGTTCCATAGACCAATGGCAACGTGTCACCTGAGAGCACAAACACGTTACATAGAACATAGACATGAAAATGCTTCACCTTTCTGGAGTCCACAGCTGCATACATGATATCCATCCAGCCTTTAAATGTGGCCTATATGAAAAGAACAAAAACAGAGGGTATTGGACTTCATGGTTATGTGTTTTACAACCCAAAAGCCCATCAGGCAAAGTCATGGGGCAACTAATGAAACATACTTGGTGTTTGCGGATAATAACTGCAAGACTGGTGGGATTTACTCTGGGCTAGATTCCTATCTAGACTAGCTGTGTCTTGAAGCTCAGGAAGACATGGACTGTATCTCATTGCTGGTTATGGTAGGTCAGAGTGCTGAGTCTCACTAACAATGATGCTGAAATACGGTTTAGACCTTCTGATTTTACAAGACTCCTCAGTCGATGCATTTAGCTAGACTGACATCGCTGTAAATTTGTACCAGAAATCAAACACTGTATATGTCCATTAAATGCAAGTGGATTCAGAGGGGCGAAGAAGGAGTGGGAGTATGAAGCACGGACAGCCGGAAAGCAGGAATGCTGTTAAGGAGTGTGATGCTCACCACTTGTAGTAAGGCCAGGTATCCAGCACCTACGTTGTCAAAGTTGATCTTGACATTCTTCCACCGAACCTCAGTATAGTTAGCATTGATGTACTGGAAGCACTGCGTCTTGTTATTGACAACGCTGGGGTCAAAGTACTCCTCTGAGGTCTCGTTATAGCAGTAGTAATATTTCCCAGCGAACAGGTTGACACCCATGATACTGAAAATCAGCCAAAAGATGAGGCAAACCAGCAACACATTCATAATGGAAGGGATGGCGCCCACCAAGGCGTTGACCACCACCTGGACCAGGAAAGACAAGGCACCACAGTGTGAGAAAAACAGATAACTGGTGAATAGAAGATGTGCCAGAATACGCACTGCCTGGCCGAAGCAGCTGCATGCTTGTATGACATTTCTGTGTAACTCCGAAGATTAAGTCAAACATTACTGTGTTCCTTACTGCTTGATTCTTATCTAATATGACAGAAGGGACCAGAGTTCTTTTTTTAAATGCACCATATAGACCTTTGGTTTTGACATTTATTGTTTTTTATTTGCCATCAGTGGAGAAAAAAAGTCTGATATTAATAATAATGACCATCTGGCCGATTCTGTCCCACTGTTTCTCCTTTCATCTTCTGGTTGGAGGCTGTAGCCCACACCACATACATCAAGCTGGCTCACAAATAAATTTGAGACCTGGACCTATTTTGCCAGGTGCAGTGACACACATATACTTATCTGAATATTGCCATACTGGAATGCAGCTTGTATTCTTTGCCATTCCACCCACTATCACGCATACAGCACGTACCAACCAGATCCCACCCACAGTACGATGACCCAAAACATCTCCGCACAGCACAAGGCTCTCATAAATTTATGAAAATTCTGACCCAACCTGTACTCTATATGAACACACATTTGCTAGCTCTGGCTGGTGCTCCACCTTACAGATTTCAACATTTTGTAAACTACCAAACACTTTGTGTTTGTCTGAGACCCAGGAACCGTCCTGGGTAATTTAAATATTTTTTTAAAAGATTTTAGCTGTACTTCTTCTTGCCAACTTCCTGTGTTTGTTCCTGGAATAGTAACTGGAATAAATCGAAAATTACAAAAATAGCCACAAAGCAATTTACCATTCTAAAAATGGTGAGAAACTATCTTCTGAATAGGACACTGTTGCTATAGTTTCTTGAATATCAATGATTTCTAGAAATAGGACAGAAGGATCTAAGGAAATTTTTGCTTCTGTTGTATACGGTGTCTCTACTTATCATATCTATTTTGTTTCACCAAAAATAGAAATTCATCTTCCTCAATGAGCACATTAAACATTTGTACGGAGTAAGGTTGGGTCAGAACTTATAAGTAAACTCCATTGCAAATTCTGCAGAGCATTTCTGCTGCCCATGTCGTCTGATGTTCCACTTTCTGAATTTAGCACCTCAAGTGCACCAAGCATTGTGCCAACTGAAATGTTTAACTGTATATTTTTATAATCTTCCCAAAAATGACAATGCAATCTGCAGCAGTCCAATATTTTAAAAATAAAGGTGCTCTAATGTTGACTATACACTCCATAATTTTAGTGAATTGCAATATTTTAGTGTCGCAATTAGACAAAATTGGAATTTTGTACCCCTCAGGTGACCCTTCACCTTCTTTCATGTGACACAGATTTGGTTTCTTAGAGTGGGTACAGTAACACTGAGTGTATTATGTTTCTGAATTCGGGCTCTGCTGTGTTTCATTTAAATTAATTGCTAACACTCCTTTGCTTTCTGCCTATGAAAATAAAGCTAGTCATTTTTGTGGAGGAAATCCCCAGCTCCCACCTTGGTCCTGTTTTTGCCATGAAAACAGCAAAGGGCTTTGAGCAAAACAAGCAGCCTTGTCAATTTCCTAAGTCTCAGCCTGCAGCTGACACATAGTCTGGTAGTCTTACAGGAACAGTATTATTTTCTTCGCTTCCAGAATTGAAATGGCTAAACCTCAAGGTCGCAAATGTAACGCTAATGCCTGCAGAAGCTTTGGACATCGATCCCAACCCATGTCCATGTGTGAAGGCGCAGGGAACAAGGCTTCTTCAGGCCCACAAACACATCCTGCATCAGCAAGTGAATAGGAGGTGCCTCCTGCAGTCATCTGTGCTACTCACAGGCCCGAAAATGCTGAACTGGGCAAATACAGGACAAGAACCAGGTGGGAGAGATTCTGAGGGCCAGGGAATGGAGAAGAGAAACTCAGTATATAAGACAAGAAAACAATGGCATGACAAGAACCAGAAGCAACTGTATGAGCACCATCAGGAAAAAGCAATCTGTCTATTCTGGCACAGATTGCTAGTGAACAACAAACTGATTTTGATCTTTTCATTCATTCTAAATGATAGGGAGCAACAAGAATGAATGTTGTACATAGTATTTTTGCTCTGTTACCGACATTCTGTCTGAGTTAGTCCCTTTTTACTGATGGTGCTCTGTTGCTGCTGGGGGCTCTCTGTACAAAATGCATAAGGGCACGAGATAAGGTGGGTGGTGGTTAGAGGAGAAGGGGGGAGGGGGGTCATTTATTAAAAGCCCTTGCAAAGCCAATGTTCAGGCCAATATTGTACACATTTGCATTGGTTTTGAGTTATTTTTTTGTTTTATTCATTGTTCTGGGGCTAATTTATTTATGATTATTTCAAAAATTGTGATGAGGCAGCTTTACAATGTAACCCTCTATTTCAGATTATATATGAAACTTCATGGCTCCTAAATCAGTGGATTTTAATATCCATTAGATCTTCTTCCCATTTTCATTTTCAGAGTGAGTCATCAAAGTAGCCACTGGTTTCTATGGTTTTAAAATGCCACAGCTGCATCATGACTTTTCTCCCCTGAGCATGTGCGTGCATGGAAGCATGACTGCTTTAATGTCATTTACGTTTCCTTAATCAAAAAAGGTCGCCTTTTGATCAGTTCTAGCATGCTTTGACTGTTCAGCTGGCATGCAGGGAGATCAGCCGCTCAGCTTCGGGTCTTACCCTCATCCCTTCAAAACGTGACAGAGCCCTGAGGGGTCTCAGCGCCCTTAGTGTCCTGAGAGATTTAATAGGCCCTAGATCGGAGTAGCCCAGGGCATTAGCTATAAGGCTGACTATAGACACCTACACAGAAACAGAGAAGCAAGACAGGTTCCAAACTGTTAGCGCTTAGCGTCTTAAACTTTCTTTTTTTCCCCCAAAAGCTCATCTATTGGAAGGTTAGTCGCACACAAACATGAATACATAATTATGGGCATATCTATATATGTATACACATAGAGATTCCTTTCGTAATATGGGTTATAGTAAAGTGCCACAGTATTTTGAAATTAAGAGGCCCCATTCTTTTTTTTTTGCTTGTTTTTACATTTTTTTGTTTTCTTTTTATTTGCCTTGGGTAGGCAAGGATGCTTGAAAACCAGCTTGATGGTGCACCTGTAAAGAGAGTCGTCGTTGTAAGAGAGAAAGAGGCATGAGAGACCAGGCACAGAGACACACACGAGACACATTTAGTTCAAAGGAAAGGGTTGAGCGGGGATTGGAAAGGCTAGGAGAGAAGGTTCCCTGTTGGACAAAATCCCAACAGACTACAATACAAGAACCTTACCCTGGACCTTCTAACACTGTCTCCCCAAGTTCCTCTCGGCTGATGCATAAAATCCCATTTAATTTAAGACAGACAAAATAAAGGCACCTATGAGAAAAAATACAGGTCAATACATACACATCATATCATCATACTAATATTACACACAATATTGAGATCTGGAACAGACACACACACACACATGAGAACAAGGCAAGGGAGGGTGCCAGCCAGGAGGGGCAGGCTGGACAGCTCATCGCGCTCGACTCCACATGGAAACTACCAAAGTCCTAAGAGCAACTGGAGTCTGCTGTGGCCTACCGACACCACACCCTGCATCAAAGCTATCCACCCGGCCACCTCAAACCATAGTACATCAATCTGTCGCATGGCAGTCAAGACATCACATATCACATCAAAAAAGGGACCTGAGAACAGGTTGTTTGCATGAAGGGGCTTTGTGTGAAGCAACAGTAAAACTGTAATAACATGTTAGTTTGATATCAATGATAATTCATCTTCATCGTCATCATTACTGTAATGTTATTATGACAGTGATTATATTTAATCCTAAGTCATAGTTTTTTAGCTTTTGTAATATACACCGATCAGTCATAACATAAAAAAAACCAGACAGGTGAAGTGAATAACATTGATTATCTCGTTACAATGGCACTTGTCAAGGGGGCCATTACATATTAGGCAAGTGAACAGTCAGTTCTTGACATTGATGTGTTAGAAGCAGGAAAAATGGGCAAGTGTAAGGCTCTGAGTGACTATGACAAGGGTAAAATTGTTGTTGCTAGACAAATAGGTCAGAGCATCTGCAAAATGGCAGGTCTAGGGGGCATTCCCAGTATGCATTGGTCAGTATTTAACAAAAGTGGTAAAAGGAAGGCCAACCAGTGAACCAGCAACAGGGTCAAGGGTGCCCAAGGCTTATTGATGCACATGGGGAGCGAAGGTTAGCGCGTTTGGTCCAATCCCACAAGAGAGCTACTGTAGCACAAACTAATAAAAAAAGTTAATGCTGGCAATGATAGAAAGGTGTCAGAACACACAGCGTATTACAGCTGGCTGCATATGGGGCTGTGTAGCTGCAGACCAGTAAGATTGCCCATTCTGACCCCTGTTCACTGTCAAAAGTGCCTACAATGGGCACGTGAAAATCAGAACTGGACCATGAAGCAATGGTAGGAGGTAGCTTGGTCTGAAGAGTCACGTTTTTTGTTACATCATGTGGACAGCCAGGTGCATGCGTGTCGTTAATCTGGGGACGAGATGGCAGCTTGCAGTGACATTGGTTTGAGGAACATGAAAAAGAGTTCATGGTGTCAACCTGCCCATCTAGGGGAGTCTATGTCTCGGTAGGTCAGTGCTTTTTGGTGGCTCGAGGAGGACCTACATGATAATAGGCAGGTGGTTTTAATGTTATGACTGATCGGAGTATATTTACTCTGTAGATTCAGACATACAGATGGGTTAAAAGTAGACATTTAAACATATAAACATGTTGGGTAATACTTTACTTAAAACAGTCATGTATAATGCATTCATGAAGTATTATAAACAAGACTATATTTATAACAAGTTATAACACTTTATAGGCATATTTATTATGAATTATGAATGCTCTATTAGGCTCTTATTTATAATGTACTTTAAATAACTTCATAACGCAGTACAAAGCATCATAAATGCTTTGTACTGACCATTATAATGCATCATGAAGGTATCTAGTGCATTATAGATAAGAGCTTCATAGAACATTCATAATGTATAATACACAAGGCTATTTGTTATGCCTTTTTATGAATAGCTATAGCCATGTTTATAATACTATGTATGCATTATAATACATTATAAAGGTATCTATAATGCATTATGATGATTGCTTCAAGTAAAGTGATACCAATTGTTGTTAAATCAGGACAGTGCTTATGAATATACTGTGTTAAAAGTGGTTTGTAATGCTCTTTTGATTTATACTAGCACATTACCCAGTCACTAATATATTGCTACTAATATTTTAACACATTACAGCTACAGCTTTCTGAGAGATACTCAGTCCCATGCCATTTTCTGTTCTCTTTATTCTCACGTCTCACTGTTAGAGACTTTCTGAAGCTGATGAGATTTTTAGTAGCATGTTTCTATGTACAGTACCATAGGACTCTGCTGTGGTTCTTACCTGCCATCTTTTTCATCCGAGACGGTGTTTCCCAATCTAGTCCCCGTCCACGTTTTTGCTCCCTCCTTGCTCCCGATAGGCAGTAATAATGTGGAATGTCTGGCATTGAGCTCAGAGGGAGCAAAAACAGGGACTGGTTGTGGGTCCCCAAAGACTGCATTAAGAAACACTGATCTAAGAGAAGTGGCTGTTGAGCATAAAAGTGTTTTGGCTGTGTGTGTATGTGTGTGTGTCTGTGGTACTATAAACCTATGTGTCTATGTGAAATCTGGTCACCAGGTGCACCTGGCCTTATTCTGCTTGGCAGGCCAGTAGCCAGTGATACTTTTTGGTTACTAGAGGACAGATGAATTGCACACCACAGAAATAGTTATCGGCCAGCAGGAAGTTATGCAGTATCATCAAATATTATGTAACTTACATAGACCAAGATGATGATAAGACTTCTCGAAAGTCAATCTTCGGTTTTGATGTACTACAAAAGTTGATGACTACAAAAGCCATGAATCAAGTCATTAGGATATTTTGTGACACCTCCTTATTTGATCTAAACCTTACAAGCTTACATTATTACCAACAGAGTATGGAAATCCAGGTGTCATATACTGCATATTTACTTCTGTGTTTTCTATTCAGAGCAAAGCAATGAAAAGGGCTTATTTTATATAACCCCTGGCACCCTATGGTCCAGCTCTCATATTCCACTACACAAGGACTTTTCTGACTGAATGCTGTACAGATCAAGGTGAACAGTTAAGTGCCCACAGTAGGATGAACTATACAAGCTTTAGATGTTAAGCGCTATAAAAACATTACAACTCTATATGACAGCTTTCAGCATGTCTTCAACCCACCATCCAAAAAGTACAGCCTTCTTCACAACTGAAAGAAGTCCTCCCTGTGCCACTGTGCAAATCCTCATTCACAGAGTCTTCTGTGCAATAGCTTCTGTCTACAGAGACCTTTACTGGGAGTGCCGACTGCAACCCAATCAATGATAATGCTGGTGAAGAATTCGCAGATTCATTGAAGGCCCGTGAGATCATTAGCTACCTACAATGCTAATGCTCGGCTTGTGCTTAATAAAGGACAAAGGCAAGTTCAGGAAATACACAGCCAGAACTAGACACTCTGGCATATGAGCAGCAATGCAAGGGTATGTGGGTTCAGAATGGTACAGGAAGTAAGGTTAGTGACACCTTGGAGGTTTGATTTAATGGTCCTTGCCTTATAATCAAGGTTTGTCTGAATTGTAAAGAGCTAGGTTTGGGTTGGAACATGGAGAGTCACAGATGGAGTGGGGAACGATGTGGGGCGAGAGTGAATAGGCAATAATACTGAAATGACAGCAAGGTTCTGTTAACAAAGGATAAGCAGCAGACTGGAAGAAGACCTGAAACCAGCCACCGACTGAGCTAACACACTGAAACAATGCACAACATCGGAAGCTGACACCAAGGAAGGGGTTCTGCTGAAGGCGAAAGCTTTATTATGGTTTACTGCATCTTTCCGACTGTGCTCCTTACCTGGTTCTTCAGCTGCTCTCACAAACTGATTTCTGAGCTGGGGTTCACTGGCAAGCAAAGAGCCAAGAACACATATCCAAGAATTTGCTGCTACCTTATCCATAGGAACTGTAATATCAAAAATGGCATTGGGAGTGTCTGCATTGGTGAATATGCTGGACCACTGATCTACCTGATCTAGTGAAGTACTATACTTCATTTGCCTCAGCATGACTTGGAGATATGAGTCCTGAGGTTCCATGTTCCCGTCATCCTCCTGGCTATTTCTGGAATGCTTTCAGAAACACAATGAACCATTTGCACTCCACAGTCTGTGTGGCTGAAATACCCAACATAACAAACCTCATACATTTTCTACTCATTCTACACTAATTAATAGTTACAGTTAACATCCACTCTTCCACATATGACAGCTGTCATGTCACTGTACAACAAATAATTTCAGAATATATATAAGGATGCTATACCTGATGTTATATATATAATGCACTGATAGTAATTTAAGGGTTCTTTCTCCAATTTATTATGATTAAATGCACCCAAGTCCATGCTGACTCTTGAGGTCCATACAGTTCTCAAGAAGGTCCTGCCATCAGTCTGATACTTCAGTCTTTCTCAAGAAGGTCCTGACATCAGTCTGATACTTCAGTCTTTCTCAAGAAGGTCCTGCCATCAGTCTGATACTTCAGTCTTTCTCAAGAAGGTCCTGCCATCAGTCTGATACTTCAGTCTTCCCAATGACATGTTTTCTCTCTACACTGAACGTAAATAAAGATTTTGCCTTCATCTGCATTAGAACAGCATTTGGGGTATTTGTCACCTTTAGCCTCAGCCTGCCCCCACGGATGCCCCTTTTTAGGGTCTGCCCCCCCCCCCCCTGAGCCAGCTGTGTAGGTGCCCCAGTGCCTCCTTCCTCTCTCATCGCTCTGCAAAGTAAGGTCAAGGAGATCTGTGGCTGTGGTGAATCTAAACCAGTCCCCACCCCCACCCCCCATGCACACACAGTGACACACAAGTTCTTTGTTTGTCGCTACCGTCCCAGTCTCACCTTCTTCACAATCACAAACATATTTTACTGATGTGCGTTTCCCCTGCACCTTCGTGAACTCTATCCAGCACATACAGAGAAAATAACCAGGAAACATGCTCATCTTCTTTTTTTGGGCCAGAAACTTAACTTTCGTTAAACTTACTTGATTCCAGTTACTGAAAGAGATATGGCGCCAAATAATCTGTCCTTCCTAGTCCGGCAGCAGCGATTTTGGATACGTATTGGGCAGTACAAGGCTTGCTTGAAAGGCTATTCAGGCCTAAATGAAAGCATTGTGAACATTTCGTAATATACAATGAAATGAGAATAACAGACATGTAAACAATCTTTTACAGACGACTTAAACTGGCAGCTATATGGCACTAATATATAAAGCAATAATAACTCAGTTAATATCTCATCATGAAAATATTCTGTCCTGTATACTGTAATGGATTCGACATGTAATTATGGGAGTATGACACATGATAAAATGAATGTCTTTAAAACTGGAGCTGACATGTAATAAAATCATGAAATAGTGCAAACTGAATCAACACCAGAATATGGTGGATCTACAGAACTCAGTCGGCTCAAGTTAGCTTCATATGACTTCTATCTACATCAACTCTGCCACTGAGATGTATCCTAGAGATTGTCTACTATGTTTATAACCTAAACATTATTACCAATAATGTTTATTATTACCAATAAACCTTGTCTGGGAGGACAATCTGCAATTCTACACATTATGAACGTTTGAAAGAAATGTTTAGTATTATATAAAACATTACATACGCTCGTATGTATTTCCAAAGGTAAAAAAAGCAGCTGTTTGACTGTAATTAACGTCAATACAAATCTCAGATGTGCAAAAAGGAAACTGAACAATTCGCAAAGGGATGTAATCACTGACAAAAACATAGATTTAAGTTATCTTAAGGATGTCATGATATTAAATTTTGTTTTACCTGTTGGATAAAATTACTTCTATTCTATTCTAATAAAAACATTTTTCTCAAATGATGCTGGCACAAGAAGAGCCTTCTCTTCTTGTTCAAATGTGTAACGTTCTCTAGACTTGGTGTCCTGGTATCGCTCTTTAAAGGTTCCTTAATCGGGTTCCTTGCTCACTTTTGACATTTACAAATGGCTGCTCCAAAAGAAATCATATTACACAATTATGGGTGTATGTTGAAAAAATCTGAGACAAAATGAGAATTTAGCAGTTTTTGCTTTGAATATCCAAAATTCTAGATGAGCAGATGTATTGAGGCTGTTGGGGAAATTCTAACTCCTGGACGTTTTGTGTTGCATTGGCTTGACACACACAAGGGAGCTGTGGAGGTCTAGACAAGGTTCAAGTGTTTTGAATCTGTTTTTGAAATTTTGCACTTGAGTCAGTAAAAAAAAAAAAAGCCACACACAAAGACCAGAAGACCAGAGAGCTGTCGATAGCGCACAAGTAAGGCAAGACAATGAGACGTGCAAACCTGCTCATGGCCTATGAATCGCACACATTACGTTCAGATCCAAATGGTTGGTGCAGTCACTGGACAGAAGAGGCTTCTCCATGGAAGAGAATGACTATGACTTACCCAAACAGAACACAATGTCACCAAAATTGGTTTATAGCAATTTCATTGCCCAGAAGCGACCACACATCGTGGGTGAGTCTGTTCCTTGTTCCATCAGCCAGTCCAACTTCCCAGCTCTGAACTGTACTATTCTCTCCTGAGAATCCTTTACATTTTGTTATCATAACCTTTATGGTAACCAGACCATTGTTCTCTTTTGACAGCACCCATCCACCCCACAGACCACCTAACTATATGAACAAAATGCTGTTTTTAAATCGGTTCAGACCATAGGAAGTTGTCAAATAAAGACAACAGTGAGCTGAATTATTTCAGAGGTATTCTGCATCAATGAACAAAAAGTGTAAGAGATACTAACACAAACAGGCAAATTATATAGCTTGAATAATTGAGAGCAGCTGCATATATCTATCGGATTGACCTAATGCATTACAAGGGGTTCAGTTAAACCATTTTCATTATTAACTTTAGTAACAATCTACTACAACCGGACCAGAATACACATTGGTGAGGCGTTTCTTCTGTTTAAGCTCATAAGTTTTTGATCACATTACACAGTATATTTAACAATGACCCAAAAAGAAATCTACTGTGTCTGGAATACAGGACAGCAGAAACAGCTGGGACTATCCATAAAGGCACCAGTCCAGTGAGCTTTTCATTACAAAAGCAGTACAATAGCTTTGAAGGCCATAATAATTTAATCCTTTTTTGGTAACCATCCTGCTTGCCCTTGTGGCCAAAAGCAGGTATTACACCCTAATGGAGGCAGTGTACTATCTCAGCCCAGGGGACACTTTGCCTTTTTCATAACAGCTGGGAGACAATCAGTGAAGGTGTGTGAACACCCACTTTATTATTCTGGCCCAGGTTAGAGGTATCTATGGGACAAAATAACCTGTCATGACCAGACCTGTTCTGACCGCCCTAATTACACTGCACAAATGCAACAGTGACAAAAACTTCAGGAAACTTTACACAAAAAATGCAATAAATGTGACATCCTGTCAATATCTGGGGTACAGCAGCATAATTCCACCAACTCTGCATTGGCACAACAGCTATATGAAAATATGAAATAATTTCCAAATATAAATTGAAAAAAAAAATTTGAAGGTTACTAATGATAATGCAGTCGACCTATCTATAACTGTGGGAGACATTGCATAGTGGTTTTTAAAGGACAAGACTGCACGAGAAATATTTCTCAATTATTTCTCAATACTTTAGAGTAACAAATCTATACTGTACACATTATAACACAGATGTGGGTTGTCTTAATCCAGGTAACATTAGCATTACATTAACTGCACCTGCAGAATATCACTACTCTCAAATACACTGCCAGTGTAGACGTGTAGATGCCCTACAGTCAATAAGCCATTTTGGAAAGTACTGTTATTTTTAGATTGCTGTGTGTGAGCTCAAGCTTGTTACTCAGCCGTGTTACACAAGTGCCCTGGGTCATGTCACATGGCTGCACTTAAAGGCTCTCACCGGTTCCAACACTCTGATTCCTGTGTGATGTCATAGCTAAAGGAAACCACGTCTCCATCTGAAATGAACTCCTAGAATGATGTGATTTAAATCCCCATCAAGCATTTCAAAATACGGGAATGCCCAGAAGTGTTCATGACACTGTAGGTATATACAAAGTGTGCCAATGATGTATTCAGAGTGTAGACCAATCAGTGTTAGTCATACGTGATTTGGTTGCAGCCATTTTGGTGCAAGAAACTGACTCCAAGCACAAAAGCCATGGAGTGACATGGCCAGTCTACCACAGTTTATCAACTAACAACGTAAACCATGAATCATTAAAAATAAATCAATGCCAAATTAGTAATCTAAAAAAAACAAGTACAGGTCAGTCACAAAACAGTAATCCAGCATTCACTAGAGTTGAGGCCATCTCCGCCTACCTATCAATCCATGTTTCTGTAGCAAGTGATTGCATTAAGATGGCCTGTAAAGAAGGGTTTGGGGATTTATAGACGAATATGACTGGCCCCTGAGATGTGGGTGGGTGACAGAATACTTACATCCACTATGAAGAAATCCAACCAGCACCAAGCATTGGTGAAGTACTTGACAAATCCGTAGGCCACCCACTTGAGTAACATCTCCAGAATGAAGATGTATGTGAACACTCTATCAGCATACTCCAGGATGATACGAATGGTCTTCCTCTGCTCAATGTACACATCTTCAAAAGCCTGGGAAGGAATCACAGTAAATGCCTCAGAAAACAGACCGGGAACAGGAGCCCTATAGGAGCATGATCTACTGTCTCCCCCTTCAGACTGCTCAAGATACTCAACAGTCAATCACACAAGAAGGGTTCAGTTTTTCTAAAGCCCTGGGAATAAAAAAAACATCATTCAGTTGTCTGACTTAATCTGCTAAGATTCTCAAACGTTGACACAAATGCAATTAATGCTTAAATTCTTTTAAATGTCCCAGTGGAAAAATTACACAATTAAAATACAACAGTGATATAAAACCTGATTAAAATAAAGAAGGCAAGTTCAGTGAAAACTGACATGTATTTCCTTATTTTACAGACTGACTTCATGTGCATAAAAATGGCTGAATTTGGTTCAGGCCCAACAAACAGCACAAAGGAAACCAAAGGAAACATGTATCACTTTGTCTATATCTGAGAGAAGATAGCCAACGTGTATAATACAATCTAAAGGGGCTGGAAATGCAGCTATAGTATTAGTTGATGCTCCAACATCTTTTGCCAGTGACAAAATGTACATTAAGGATGATCTTTTCCTCCTATGCACATGCAGTACACTCAGATCTTTTATGCTCTTAAGTATTTGTGGGCCGTGGTTCCCCCAGAGAATTCAAACCGCTAACAGCTGCAGCCCAAACCGGATTCTTTGGTTAGGAGGTAAGTGCATTTCTGCATACATTAAGAACAATATCTGTATCATAAGCAGAAAATGACTACTTAGGATGTGCACTTTGCTGTAAGAAGAGCTTGTAAAGACCTCCTAGGCCTTGCTGGATCCAAAATGGTTTCCACACTGCTGTTTATGATTCACTTCTGTTCTGTTATTTTCTTTTTCTTTCTTCCCCTATGTTTTGATCCCATTGTGTATTTTTTTTTATCTTAAATGTTTCATTCTAATCTGAATTTTGGGTGCGTAACTTCATTACAAGATCAACATCAGTAATTCAAGAGGCTAAAAAAACACGCAACAGATAAAATGAATTCAGAATATTGTTTATAGCTGACCCAACAATTTCAAATTTACAGCAAGAAAATTTTTAAATCTTGTTTAATTTTGGGAGTCTGCAGTTCAACTCCCAGCTATGATGGCGTACTAACTGCATGCTGACCATGCATGTAGGTTTGCGTGTGTTCATGTGAATGTGAGGAGGCCGGACCTCACCAGTGCCCCACTGCTGAGCAGGATCATGAAGATGATGAGGGTCTCAAACCAGTTGTGCTCCACAATCAGGTAGCAGGTCTTCCTCAGGTACCACCAGTACTTCCCCCAGCCCTCAGTGATGGGCACATCGCAGCACTTGTACCGTGCAATGCAGGCTGTGCCAGACAGCATCCATGATAATCAGCACAAACCAAAGACTTCATAGACTAAATCTCCTCTCTTCAGTTCTTTTTAGGAATTTGTTGGAATACTCTGTTGGATTTTGCTGAAATGACTGCTGAATTTGACCAGCTCTGAAAATCCATAGTGTAGTATTTTTTATGTACAATAGACAAAACAGCTAAAGCATAAAACAAAAGAAAAGAAAGTACGAAGATGTGTGCTTATATCTATGAGAAGAGAGGGTGTGTTTGTATCAGAGTCTCAGTTCATCTGGGGCCCTCCTCTAAGATAAGGTGTTCTTAGCTTCCAAAGTCAAGGACACATGCCTGTGTTTTTCCAGAAGACTAGATATTTTAATGTTACCTCAGAAACACCCTGGAACCTCCATCATTTCCATGTTCATCTGGCCCTGGGGTCACACTCACCCTCTGTCCAGCATGCGTCCGGGTCCAAGTACTCCTCCGCTGCCTCCACAACCACCACATCCTCAACGTCGGGCTTGATGTCGATGGTGCTCCCCTCTGATGAACTGGTGTCATCCAGCTGTACAGATGGGGGGAGGACGGATCACATCACGGCCCATATCCAGTTCCCTCCTGTCTCCACCTGCCCTGCTAATATTCTTTGTGGTGATTTCAAACAGGGGAAACCCAACGATCCACCAGGAGATCCCCGAGATGAGCAGCTGCTGTGTGGCTAATCCATTGACCTATGTCATCTCACCGCATGGCTCTGGCATGAGAGACTGCAGTCCCTCTAAAAAGCTGCGCCGTAGTTTCCTTTAATACACTCATCCGATGTGAAGCTAAGGGAGCCAAAAGGTGCAATCACAATCATAGCTATTTTATAACTCAATCTGCTACAGAGCAGTATCTAATGTACATCCATCTGTACATCCTCAGCAGGCCCTAATGTACCCAGTTGAATTATATTCACACCAAAGGTGTTCATTTCACTGCAACACTTGCATGTTAACTACTCAACCACTGCTATTTATGCACAAGATGTCGCAACATGTATAAGTTAATAAGTAAGTTTCAGTAAGCAAGCAGATTTTAACTGCATGGGTTGTTATGTAATTAATCTAGATACATCTAACCTTGCTTGGTGACTGATTACAGAATGTATGTTGGACTTCATCCAGTATATAAACATGAATGCTTTAGCTTTTTGGTTTTTAGAGGATGTTCTGTGCATCTCTGAAACTGTAATGACATTACCAAGATCGCAATGGCTGAGACCATTAACCGTTTGGCACTTAGGGAGGGACTTATTTACTGGAAACTGAGAATTGTGCTTAACACAGAGCTGGATAGTATGTAGTCATGTAATTGTAATGCAATTACATTGTGTGACTGATAAAAGAATTCTGCTGCGGTGTGACTGCTGACACAACCGCCCCATACTGCACAGCGAGGGAGGGGTCATTCAGGCACAAGCTAAAACAGGCATTATGTACAGAGGAAAACACTACCGACAATACTGACAGTACAGACGTAAAATAATCATACACTGTTCATCTGAGTCATAAAACACACAGACTGTTCTACACTCTGATGCATCAGCATGGAAGCGTATTTTCCTACCACGTTTGAGACTTGGCAGTGCAATGCTCAGCTTTTGCAATACAGAATGGCCTCACAGAAATGTGAGCCAGATCATACACACACACACACACACACACACCTAAACTTCTATATGCACATATAAATTTTATACACACACAGGAAATCTGCCGAGGGAATCTCAAAACAAAAAGCACCACTGCAGGATGCAGCACTAGAGGATCATGGGGCAGAGACCCGGTACAGAAATGCCTCATGCACAACTGGGCAGAAGCACAGACGATACCCACAGACAAAACATCTGCATATGCAACGAGCTGCCGCCACAGTAACTGCGACACTGCACCAGTACATAGCTGTGAACTAACACAGGGACAACCTCAGGGATCTGCGCGTATCAAAAATACATTACTCCAAAAGGTACAAAAGCACAGCTCTAAGCGTTCATGTGAAACAAATGATAAAGGTGTACTTAATAAAGAAGTATAATCAAAGGAAAAGTCAGTTTTTTGCACAAAGCCCAAAGTGTTACTCTGAACATAATGTGTCATGGCATAGACACTTGCGTTGTCTGGTTTGAAGTTTGAATTCAATGGCACATCGCCTTCGTAAGAATTCATTAGTAGCCACTGCAGTGACCGTGCATTGAGATTCTCAGGCTCACAAGGATTCCATTGGCGTTCCAAGCTGCCTGAAGGACCTTGCATGCATTCTAGGAGAGTGTGTGAGCAACTACTGCTTAGACCGGACGGTTACACCATGAAACTCGCCTTCCGTCCAGACTGACTCAAGGTCATCTTAGCAAATGCTGCTGTCGGTACAAACAAAAAAAACAACACAAACCTGACTCCCTAGAGCCATCCACCTCTCTTGTCTGAATGCCTGATACAGCATATAGTGGTGAGGGCTCGTACCCTGAGCCATATGCATAGATTGCATGTGCACCTGTGTGTCAATGAGCGCACTTGTGTGCCTGTGTCTCTCTGTCTGTGCAGCCTTCCTGGAGGAAAGTAACAATGCCACACTGACTCTGCAAATGTCCCAACTGTGGCACATTTTAGATTTTCTGTATTTTAATGAATGAAATAGAAAGTAAATAAAATCAGCCATGAAGTAATTCTCCTTTTAAAATGTCTGATGCTCTGATTCCTCACAGAGGTGCCAAAAGCACCGTCAAAAAGGCTGAGAGATGAGATCATATATGTTGGATGGATATTTTCCTCTTGCATTATTTTGCTTAGTCATCCTGCAACTTTGGCTATCCATCCTGCAATCTTAGCCTCGCAAGCCCCCCAAATAAACAGGAAAACCGAAATAAACGGCCAGCTTTATTACTTAGGCCGTGTGATCTAAATGACTGCATAATGAATAAACATAATGAAGACCATTAAAAAGACACAAGACATTTTAACTCTCCTATATCAGTCAATTTACTGTACTGCCACTGCTTAACCAAATATATACTCTGTCAAGCAAAGTATAACTGGAAGTAATGAAAAAGGAGATAGTCCTTCAATATTTTTTTCAATATATATTAACAAATTAAACACACCTTTAAAAGTACATGAATCTCAGCTAATGATGTCAAGTAGCAAATCTTGGTTTCTTTCCTTCTTTCTGCCGTTGATGTAAGACGTAGTGTTGTGACATAATCAGAACTTCCTTAAGCATCCTGTTTTTCAGCATATCTTTGTGTTTCCCTACATAGAAAATCCCGAGGTATCCCCACCCCCATATCTCCCCACACCCACACCTCCTTACTCACATCTTTGCTCCCCTCGGCATCTGACTCGCTGCTGAAGTCTTCGGTGTTAAGGTTCTCAAAGTCTGACTCTCCCACGGCAATAGGAACCCGCACGGTGAGATTCGGGTTGTGGATGAAGGACATGCGGTCTTCGTCAATCATGTATTTCCCCACGCTGCTTCCAATCCCACTGGTGGTGCCGTTGCCGTTTTTCTGGTAATCCAGTTCGCGGTTTATGTCCACACCCGTGTGGTTGCCGATGCACAGCTTCTTGTCGTATGCCTCATCACTCTCCTTCTTCTTCAGGATTGTGGCGATCAGTACCCGTATCTTGACCTTTGCCCAGGCAATGCCCTTCTTAATGCGAATGACAGATATCTGCAGGTTGTTCATCTCACCATCATCATCTGTAGCAGCCAGGTTGTCAGCACTGAATGAGCTCAGAAGCAGGGCAAGGAACAGGTTCAATACCTAGAGAGGGCATGAATTAGTTAGTCAGGTTCTATCACAAAGGTTACTGGTTAAACAATTATTTTGATTTATACAAAAGCTTTGCATTGGTCCCTGTCATGTCCCCGTTTGGCCAGCAGATGTCACTGGCCATTCCGTTTTTTTCCCCTGGTTCCTGAGTGTTTAGGTAATTGGTGTCTCTTGTCTGGTGCTTGTTATCTGTGTTTATGCTATGGCTTTGGTAAAAAAACTATTTTATTATTGGTCCAGAGACCGACGTGGTTGTCGATTATTTTCATGCAATGGTACAGGTGGTTCCAGCAGCCTAATAACAGTTATATATCAATGCATTTTATTGTTTTATTAAACATGTTCATAAAACCCGTGACTTTATACTCATAAATAAGCAGTCATTCTTAACATTCTTAAGCAGTTTTCAAAACACAAGTGCCTGTCTGTTTCTTTGATAATTTAACAGACTGGCTACCTCCAGTAAGTAGCCTGACAAGACGCTGTATCCTTACAAGGACTATATTTTTAAGAGCACATTGGAACACTATTAAATTCTAATTGAAATAATTTTCTTCTGAAAAATTAACCATGACTAGTTTATTCTATTATTTTTTTGTTCGTTATCCATGGTATAAGTGGTGTGAACCACTTCAAGGTGTGTGTATATACGTAAATAATTCATTCCAACTTGGCTACACCAAGTTATCATTTATTATTTTCATATAATTGCACACCTCATCGTGGTTTATTCCATACACATTTTACATATTCGTAGCAGTGAATTGGTGGTTGTGTCATGTTCTGTTTTTTTTGGGTGTGGATAAACAGAGGAAGCCCTTCCTCACCACCAGGTTTCCAATGACCATGACCATCATGAAGACGGTGAGGCACATGGTCTGACCGGCCACCTCCATGCAGTCCCACATGGTCTCAATCCATTCGCCGCACAGCACCCGGAACACGATCAGGAAGGAGTGAAAGAAATCGTTCATGTGCCAGCGCGGAAGCTCGCAGTCCTGCGCGATCTTGCAGACGCAGTCCTTGTAGCTCTTGCCGAAGAGCTGCATGCCCACCACGGCAAAGATGAAAACGATGATGGCCAGCACCAGGGTCAGGTTACCCAGGGCACCCACGGAGTTCCCAATGATCTTGATGAGCATGTTAAGAGTGGGCCATGACTTTGCCAACTTGAACACTCTCAGCTAAAGAAGTAGGGTTAGGGTGAGATTAAGGGGGTTAGGGTGTAAAGCATAATGTGTAGGAGTGAGAGTAGGAAACAGCAGGATCAGACTAAATAGCAATCACTGATGAACAATTCACAAGCAGTATTGTAAAGTATAGAGTAAAATCACAGAAAGAGAAAATTAAAGGTGTCATCAGATTTACCAATCTGAATGATCTCAGCACGGAAAGACCCTCCACATCAGCTAGGCCCAGCTCCACCAAGCTCAGGCTCACAATGAAGCCATCAAAGATGTTCCAACCCTCCTGGAAGTAGTAATATGGGTCCATAGCAACGAGCTTGGCAAACATCTCAGCTGTAAAGATTCCTGTGAACACCTGTTAGGACAGAAGTTTGTTACCAATGACCAAGCACCTTCATTTTTTGAGAATCCAGAGCTACAGCATGTATCAACAAATTTTCCAGACCAAAAATTTACTGGCTAAATGCAGGCATTCAAGTGAAGTAGAAAAATAATCTATACATCTTGGAAAATAAAAGCATTTCTATAATCAAGTAATGGGTTACAAAATGGATGTAGAGAATTATTCTCTACATTGAGGGTTCATATCTTTTATAATTCTTATTTTGGGCTGGAGTAGATTAATATAAATATACAATTCCCCTAGACACCATACACAGATTCAGACAAAACCAAGATTGCTGACTCAGGCCACAGAATAGGGGAAGAAGATGCAGCTCAGCTTTAAAAAAGGACTTCATATTTAATGACCCTGCCATCGGAAAGTGGCTCCAGGCTGGGGTCTGCATCTTCAGAACAGAAGTGCTCTGTGGGATGTACGCCATGTTCCAGGAAAATGTAAACTCAAAGGCAAGAGTGCTTTGTGAGAGTATACCTTGGTGTGTCCCTGTATTATTTTCTAGGTGGTTATATGAAGTATTTTCTGAGTTTAAGTATAACAACAGGAGGCTTTTCAGGTCCATAGATGGCCCCATCAAATCCAAACTGCACCAACCATAACTAGAAACCATAAACAGTCAACAAGAATTAAAGATGACGATATCCAAGGAGTAAATCCATGGACCAAATACCCTACAATATGTGTTGGGATGTGGGCCATCAGTGGGCCATCAGTGGGCCATCATGAAGGTGATTCTCACCAGGTTTCCAACCGACAGGACTTCCGCAAAGTGGGGTGTCATGGGGTAGTGCTCCATGGCCATGAAGAGGGTGTTGAGAACAATGCAAATGGTGATGGCAAGGTCTACGAACGGGTCCATCACAATCAGGTTCACGATCTCCTTGATCTTTAGCCACACAGGGCAGCATTCCCAGATAAGGAAGGTGTTTGCAAATTTATACCAGCATGGTGGACACTTTCGCTGGGACTCTTCCAGTTCTACAGGCCAATGGTATAACAAAGAACAAGGGCATCAGTCAAGCATTTGCTCTGTTCACTGAAGGAGCTACAGTATCTGCAGCAATTTCTATTGTAATTAGCTTAACAGCATAGTTGAAAAAGAGGCAAAGGTAAGTAAAATATATTTAAATTGTGCAGGAGATGCAGTGAAAGGAAACCATACCCTCCACCAAAGTGTTGGTGATAACACTCATGACACTGTTGGCTCGGTCCTTGCGACCAAAGGAGGTGTTGAGCTGGTCCACAGACACCATCAGGGAGCCTGAATGTTTCTTCTTCACCCCAACCTCAGTGGTTTGCTGCCAGGAGGAAAATCCATGGCATTAGAACAATGACATAAGTCAACATAACTGCCTCCAAACACTGTCCAAAATGTAATGTGAATGGTAAGCAAAGAGACTAAAATATTAGCAAGGAGTGGGGATGCAGAATAATGCCAGTGCAGTAGAGATGTCCTTGCACCCCCACCTCCCGCCCCCCCAATCTGATTAATACACTCCTGCAGACTCGTACAGAACAGAAGGACAACTAAACTGGACACCGAATTGGAACTTAAGTCCACATTGTACTGGGTGTTTTATAGACATCTAGTGTCACAAGAACTTTCCATCCGGAACAAATGGTATGAATCACACCTACAGAGAACACATGAAGTGTTTTCAATATAATGCTGGTGAATATCCATAATTCGGCATCAGTCACGGTCACACCTATAATCTGTTCCTTGATGAACCAGGAGGTGAATATGGCACACAGTCTTCGGCAAGGGATGGGACTAGCGTTGCATGTGAGTGTGTGTATGCATGTGAGTGTGTGTGCAGGGTGCGTCACTGAGTCCGACATGCATTGACATGCATAAATTTTAAAAGAAGAAAGGTCAAGGTGCCGCACAAGACAGGAGGATTCCCATGCGCAGCTGAAGAGCTTGGACTGTCAGGAGTGTAAGGGGTGCCAAGCTACCATGCTAACAGCGTGAAGTATGGCTGCTGGAATAGTTTCTTAATCAAAAGTTTCTAGGAAAAGAATAACCAAGGTAGAAATGCAACCTGAACTTTCAAGGACTCACAAAAACAGGAAATTCTGTCCTTTATGGCTGATGTTTTTGGGGATGTGAAATGCACTGGAGATCAGCTTCTGTCTTATTCACTAGCTAAAACCTGCTTAAACTTCTCTGACAATGATCTCCAACACATGCAGGGTCTGTCATCAGTACGAGGAACCCAAATAGGCTCTGTTTGCTTTGTAAGGAAGAGCAATAAGGATACAAAAGAATAAGAATAATATTTATGACCATTTTTTTCCTACACGGTGACATGGGGGCATGGCTGACAACAGTCCCAGGAGGAAGGTGATTCATTCATCTGGTCCCAGGTTCTTGACCACATCTATAAACTGGTGTTTCTCACCCCCATTAAATTTGACTCCTGATGAATCCTGGGGCATTTATTTGACTCCCAGACATGCTGTAAGTTGTTTTTTTCTTGACCTGCTTTCTTCACATGTTTCTTTGCAGGACTGTGTTGATTCTGTCCCTGTTTAACCTCCATAAACTTAAAAAGGAAATTCCGGCCCTAATCCATGCACCATGTGGCTGCGTTACAAAAGCTACAAAAATAAACGTCACGCTTATTTCAATTGTATTACCAAGAATGGACAGATAAACCACTGATGTACAAAGTAAGGAAAAGGTCTGAAAGCTTGAGTTACAGGGGACATCATGGAATTGGATTAACAAAGAAATCGGACTTTTATGAATTAGTCTATAATAAACAGCACGTATCTCAGCTGCCTGTTTTACGAAAAATTGCAAGCGGAGGAATCTGAGAGACCTGGCAGGCGGACAAGGGCGGGACAGCAGACAGGGTACAGGTGCGTCACCTTTTGTCCCACAATGTGCACCAGTGCAGAAAGGTCTAAGAGCTTCATCAGCCACTCAAGCAGTGGGCATTGGCAGTAAAAGCACAGTGGTACAGTGCAAAATGAATTTGCACAGACAACCTCAGTGTAACCTGGTCATCACAGGAATCTGAAGCTGACAACATTGCCCAAGCTTCCATTTTTCCATCGCTTTTCCCACCTAACACCTTATCACTATGAATACCTTTTGATACTGACCTAACCATACTAATTGAGAAATGACAATTAACAGTTGTTAATTGAGTGGCTGGAAAGTTAGCACATATTTTAAATTTTTAATTATGTTTCATATCAGAGTGATGGTCAAGATATGGGCTATCAGGGGTAACTGCTTCCATGCTGCTTGCTAAATAAATGTGCTTGCCCCTCTTTCTTCTCACTGTTTGGGACACAGGGGCTGCATACAGAGTGGTGGGGGGGGCATGGAGTTAATTAGGATAAACCACAAAGAAGGAAGGAGGAAGAGGAGGAGGAGCGCCATGCCTAGGCTGATCTATTCATGGACGTCCTTACACTGTCATCAGTAGCTGCCTTATCTATTATCACCTCAGGCAGAAGGCGTCCGCCCGGACCAGGCCCGATGAGTGAGACCACGCCGTTACAGTCCACCGTGCTGTTTCTCTTGCCATGTGGGGCCAGCGGATGGATGCGGGACGAGCCCTGGCTGTAGCCGCTGTAGCTGCTGCGCCGGTACGGGATGAAGAGGGAGCCCCGGCGCTCCTCGCTCTCCTCCACCGTGCTGTGCTCGTCGTCTGCAAACTCGTTCTCCGAGCCCACGTCCTTGGAGCGGCCCTTGAAGCTGAAGATGCTGCTTTTGCTGTTCTGGCGTGACAGGAAAGGCGACCCGGGGATGCTGAGGAGGGACTGGTGGGGGAGGTGGGGGTTGGGGGGGGTAGAAGGGAAAGCAGAAAGCAGCAGGAGAGGGAAAATGGATGGGGGTGGGGGTGGGTCATGAGAAGGGGGAGTCATAGGGAGGGTCGATGAAGATGAGGTAACTATCAGCCATTGCTATGAAACAGAGAACGTATTTACACACAATTCACATTTCCTGCATTTATACTCAGTTATGTTCAATTATACTTTTAAATGTCACTTAAGTGTTCACTTACAGTATTCTGTAATTCAGCATACAGAGATATCAGTGTAACGTTAGGAGCAGGTAGCGGGGTAAGGATTCATCCATTTAATCAAAACAGGGATGAATTAAACAAGTTCTTAAATGAAAGTCTTCCTAAGGAATGTGACTGAGACACTGAAGTAAAGTGAGCATAAGGATGATGACAGAATCTGTGCTAATACTCGAGGGATTCAGTGAAAGATTCTTAAAGCTGCATCAATAATTCATGACGCCGATTGAAAGCATGGACCCCATCACTGCCACAGGAAAATGTTCGAGTCAAATATCGAGTAGCTGTGGATCAATATCTCCACATCCAGCCATCGTAACAACTCCAATCTGTAGCCACACCTCAGGAATTAAATAAGACAGAATTAAATGTACTGATTCCCACAAGTATGCCAGTCCTCATTGCCTCTTTGCCTTCACCTTGTTGATATCAGTGATATTAAGCCAGAAATTAATTATTCACAATAACCTCATTTTCATTTCTTTATTTAGGAGGTGATTTTATCTAAAGCGACATACAACTGAGACGGCAGCCAGTCTCTGGAGCAGTGGTGAGGCTAAAGCCTTGGTTAGAGGCCCAGTGGTAAAATTACTGTCAACCACGGGATTCTAACCGGCGACGCTGCGATCAGAGGAACATGGAGGTAGCTGCCTTTCACTTTAATGCCCTAAAATTAATCGCAGCTGCATGCAGTTTTTTATTGTTTTTTTCATACTTCATTTTTTTTGTCCCTTAGGATGGGCTTTCCTTTGGGAAAATAAGATGCTAGCAGGCCCCTTCCCCCCCCCCAAGCACAAGCATGCCGTCCAGCTCCCACACCTGGTTCATGATGGACGTCCTCCGGCCCAGCCGGCTGTCTGGGAAGCGGAAGCGGCTCCTTTTGCTGCCTTCGTCAGACTCAGTAACGATCTTCTCGCTGTCGCCCTTCTCCTCGCCCCTCAACTGCTCCTTCTGCCGCCATTTCTTCTTGCGGTTGCGGCGCTCCTTTGCGCTCTTGGAGCTCAGCTTGGAGATTTCGGAGGAGCTCCGCGACAGGCGCCCCCCACCGTCATCCTCCACGGCGTCCTCTGATACCGTACCTGCTGGGGTGGCTGTAGCGGCGGCCTGTTGCACGTGAGATGAGTGTGAGTGAAGCCATGAGTAAGACACATTAACAGAACAAGCAAAAGGTCAACATGAACCAGGTCTAAGTCGTCCAGTCGTAACCATAATGCCCAGAAGCTGTAAGAAGATGGACTAGAAAAAACAGCCAGTAGACAGACAGACCTGAGCTTCTTCCTGCTGTTTCTTCAGCTGCTCCAGCATGGCCTTAAATTCAGCCTCTTTCTGCTCAGCCTCCTCCATCGTGGCCTGGTTCTGCTCCTCATAGGCCATGGCCACCACGGCCAGGATCAGGTTCACCAGGTAGAAGGAGCCCACAAAGATCACCAGCACGAAGAAGATCATGTAGGTCTTGCCCGCAGCCCTGAGTGTCTTTGAAAAACAAACGAGCAGCTCACGTTAGAGCTAAGCCACTGCACAGCCTGGGTTCACTTCAGCGAGGGCCTGTATATACCAGACTAAATTAATAACCTATGGAAAATGAGACGTATTCCACATGGATGAACACAGACAAAAGTTCATCACACAACATGTGCTTCTTGGCCTTTCATTCACACTGCAATTTCCATTCATATTTTTCCACTGCTGCGGCAACAATATGCAGCTGTACAGGGGCCTAATCTCTGAGTACAGTATTAAGACCATGCTTTAATTTAATCATTCCAAAACATAAGAGAGGTACATTCACACCAGCACATCTGAATGATATATGGGCTCAGAGTGACAAGTCTTTGTGCTTCCAAAAATATGAACAATAATTTTTACATGAATTGCTTTATTGCTAAATGTATAACAAATGCTATGTACAATATTACATTGTGGTTTCTATCTTGATCTTCAACTTCAGGCATAGTTTGCCTTATTAGCTGTGTTGTGTAAATACATGGAGATCAGCATCTGACATACAATGACCAGTTTTTTCTAAACACTTTCATAATATTTTGCAGTTTAACAAGTGATTCAAAAAGAATTAAATACTATTGCAAATAATTCAACCTTCTAAGGTAATGGGACTGACAAAAAGCATTTGAAATGTCAGGATATTTAAGCCATTTAGGAGTGATTTAGGACATTTGAAAAAAATGGGTAGATTGCAGCCCATAGCTATAAAATGTAAACACAGAGGAAACATATCAAACGATACAATAGACCTTGCTATGGCTGACAGTAGCGAAACACACAGAGAAACCTACTAATGTTCCAAAGAGCAAAAAGCAACTACAGCAAGGAGCAACTACAGTGATCCCTGTTATTGAATTGATGCCATATAGTAATGGGGTTAGTGGCAGTAAATCCCATCTTTAACACAGAAATATAAAAAGACAAGGTCAGCTCAGTGGATTACTTTAACAGGGGTACTGATTCAAAAACAGGAGCGGTTGACCAGATGAGGACATGATTCAGAACTGATATGGATATGGCTCATATATTGTAAAGAGAAATTAAAACTCATAATACCGATTAGCATGGGAAATCAAATCCATCAGTTACAGAAGTAACAAAGCGATTTTCTCAAACCAAAACAACTACCAAAACCAAGCAATGAAAACTAGAAATGCTACTTGATTTTTATTTCTTAAATCAACCTTATTTCAAAAATAACACCAGCCAAAATAATTTACAAATGTTATACAGTCGTATGCAAAAGTTTGGGCACCCCTCAATAAATAACATATTTTGGTCATTTTTTAATGGAAAAGATGTAAACACAGTCTCTGAGGAAATGGAAAAAATGCACAATATTTTCACCAAACATTGATGCATAGTTACTTTTTATGTCATAAATTGAACAAAGGTAAAAAATAAAAACATTATTGTGGCACCCTGCAAAAGTTTGGGCACCCTACATAATCAGTACTTAGTAACACCTCCTCTGGCAGATATAACAGCTTACAAACGCTTTTTATAGCCAGCTAAAAGTCTTTCACTTCTCGTACTTGGGATTTTCTCCCATTCTTCCTTGCAAAAGGCTTCTAGTTCTGTAATATTCTTTGGTCGTCTTGCATGCACAGTTCTTTAAAGATCTACCCACAAATTTTTAATGATGTTTAAATCAGGGGACTGTGATGGCCATTCCAAAACCTTCAGCTTGCGTCTCTTGAGGTAGTCCATGGTGGATTTCGAGGTATGTTTAGGATCATTGTCCTGTTTGTAGAAGCCATCCTCTTTTCAGCTTCAGCTTTTTTTACAGATGGTGTGATGTTTGCTTCCAGAATTTGCTGGTATTTAGTGGAATCCATTCTTCCCTCCACCCATGCAATGTTTCCTGTGCCACTGGCTGCAACACAACCCCAAAGCATGATAGATCCACCCCCATATGCTTAATAGTTGCCAAGGTGTTCTTTTCATGAAATGCTGCTCCTTTTTTTCTCCAAACATGCCTTTGCTGATTGTGGCCAAAGAGTTCTATTTTAACTTCATCAGTCCACAGTACTTGTTTCCAAAACGCATCAGGCTTCTGTAGATGTTCTGTTGCAAACTTCTGACGCTGGATTTTATGATGGGGACGCAGGTAAGGTTTTCTGCTGCTGACTCTTCCATGAAGGTCTTGTGGAACGGTGCACCCCCACTCCTGAGTCTGCTAAATGTTCCTGCAGGTTTTTTGCAGTCAAATGGGGGTTTTGATTTGTCTTTCTGACCAGCATATGAGCAGTTCTCTCCGAGAGTTGTCTTGGTCTTCCAGATCTCATCTTGACCTCCACAGTTCCTCTGAACTGACATCTCTTAATTACATTTCTCACTGTGGAAACTGCAAGCTGACAACGCTATGCTATCTTCTTTTAGCCTTCTCCTCCATTGGGGGCAACTTCCATTTTCAGAGTCTTACACAGCTGCTTAAAGGAACCCATGGTTGTTGAGTGTCCACAAGTGTGTGCACAAGGTTTGATGAGTCAGAGTATTTGTAAGGCTTTGAAATTGGCACCAGCTGACATTTACTAATGACAGCTGTTGCCATGCATCAGATGTAACGATCTGATTAAGGTCTGAAACCTTGTAAAAAGAATCTGAGACTTTGGAACTCTTAGGGTGCCCAAACTTTTGCAGAGTGCCACAATAAAGTTTTTATTTTTTTATCTTTGTTCAGTTTATGACATAAAAAGTAACTATGCATCAATGTTTGGTGAAAATATTGTGCATTTTTTCCATTTCCTACAGAGACTGTGTTCACATCTTTTCAATAAAAAAATGACCAAAATATGTTATTTATTGAGGGGTGCCAAAACTTTTGCATACCACTGTACTTATTTTGGTCGTTAGATATTTTACATATTAAAGTAAATTAATATTAAATTGAATAAAATTAAAGCCAAACCATTAATAAAACTAAAAGGTTTGAAGTTTAATAAATAGAACTATATAAATAATTACATTAAGAAATCGGATGGTGTTCTTTTCAGAAAAAAGGCTAACTTCTCAAAACAGAAGTAGCAGCAAAGCACCATTTTGTGAAGATAAGAGTTTTAGCGATTAATTTAAATCGCTGGCTGCATTTTCTGGCAACAAAATAAAGAACAACCTGATAAGGGTATTTATCTGGACCTTTGCTGCTGTCAGGACGCTTGATTATGACAGGCTGCACTGGGAGAATCGAGGCATTGCTGTCCACTGTGGGCCGAGTCTTATTACCCTACTGCCCTGCCATGGTCATAAGCTTTATTTGTCCCATCGCTGAGCTTCTCTCCATTACAGAACTCCTGCGGCAGCGGGCAGTCCTGTGCCTAATGGCTCGGCTAGCGGTGGGGGCAGGACCACAGTCAGAATTTCTTTGCCAACAGAACGACCGTACAGAGCTCTCAAATACGGATCTCCAGGACCTTCCCTGGGGCTGCTGGAACCAGGAAGAGCCTTTCTCGACAGAGGGACTAGTTCATGAGAGCCCTATGCTCTATCATTCTGTCTAGGGAGTCAGCATTCTTAACTCCTGGGTCCTAAAACCCCTGGGCTCCCATCCTCTGTGAAGTAATATTTCTGCATTTGCTGAGGGGGGTGCTTTAAGACAGCACATTGACTAGACGGTTCTCACTCCTTCCCTAACAAGTAGATCTTCTCCAAACCCTATATTCCATCACTGGAATTATGTGCTGCGAGATTAAATTAAAGAGGCGCCTGCTTTAGCAGCCGATCTATTTTTGCGAGAAGGTGCTGAGCTCTCATGCCATAGTTCACAGGGAAAAGCACTTTGTGAAGAGTAGCTTGCGAAAAGCCAATGGGAGGAAACCTGTTCAGCTGCACCCTGGATACCCTATGTGTCGGTCATGTGATTAAAAGATGAGAAAATGACTGAAAAGTATCACATGCAAGAAAAATATTGTTTTAAAGTCATTTTGACATGACAAGAAGAAAATCACCAGTGCAAACCGAAAGCATATTTTCATACTGGTCAGGGGCACGAACTGACGGGAATGAATCTACTTAAAGTCGGCTTCCTTCCTGCCTCCTTTCACACATCCTGGCTTGTTCGAGCACTAATCCCGGTGTAAATTTTTAATGCATCTTTCCATTTCACTATGTAAGACAGCTTAAGAGTTTCAGCCATTACAGTGAAAGCTAAGAAGGACTCAAATTGCAGGATGTCAAGAAACCGACTGTAGGCGTGACCAAGAGGAACCCACCCTCTCTAATAACCAACCAGCATTCGAAGTGGCATCAACAAGACGTGACAGCAAACCTTCAGTACTAAAATTATTTCACTTTCTATATACATACTTGCATTCTAACATAAAATGCCTTTTTGGCAGTCAGTGTTATAAGCTAGCACACTCACGTGTCATTATTGGGTTCCTACTGGTCAATAAACACGTATAAAAATACATTTTTGTTGATCTCAGACACACAAAGCAATGTTCTTAAAAACTGGAAAAAATAAACAATCACAAGCACAACAATAACTTAACAGCCCTCCAACACCAATCTGATGGCTTTGTAATCAAAAGCACTAAGTCTACCAGCACTCACTGGAAGCCATTTCGTATGTGTGGGCTACACACATTCAGAGTAGCTCTTGAACTTGAAAATGCTTGTAGGTTTGAGCCAAAGTGGACAGTGCCATTGTCCAGAGTGCAACCCTTTTTCTCTCAGACAGGCCAATATGCAGTACGAGTCACGGGTCTTATCCACTGTCTTCACAATTAGCTGCGAGAAAAAGAAGTGTCAACTGCGATGGCATTTGGTGTCGTTTCTCATACTGATGGGTTGGGTTTTTGGGAATGAAGGTTGAAAACTAAAGGCCTTACCAGCTGGTACAAGTTCTCCCAGAAGTCCTGTGTCATGAGACGGAAGAGAGCCAGGAAAGCCCAGCCGAAGCTATCGAAACTGGTGTAGCCGTAGTTTGGGTTCTTCCCTGCCTTCATGCAAGTGTATCCTTCAGGACATCGGCTGGAAGCAGCGGGAGAATTCTGTCATTACTTCAGCTCTTACTGCATGCATGAATATTATAAAGCACAATAAACACACTCAGTGACTACTTTCTTAATCATACCCACGTAGTATCAGGTACAACCCCATTTCGGTCTCCTGAACAACCTTTAATGATAAAAATCCTCATGACTGGATTATTTCTCTTTATAGCACCATTTTCTGTAAGATCTACACAATGTAGTACATGAGAATCCTAATTTGTAGGCTGTTTCAGAGATGCTGGAACCACCATGTCTGGCACCAACAATCACACCATGTTTAAAATCTTTACTGTGATCTATGTTCAATCACACAGATATTCAAGTTCTTGTTCCTGTCAGTATGCTGTATATACTCTGTGGCAGCCATATGATTTGCGCAGGTTGTTTGTGCTAACTAGGTGTACCCAATAAACTGGTGTATATCAGACTGTATTAAATAGTCCAAAAACAAGCCACTCACCCAGAATCAGAGCTATTTCCACACAAAAGAGCATCTAACTGTCCAGGTATAAAGTAGAAATTGGCTAAAAATGGAAAAAAGGTAAAAAGAGAGGAGGGAAGATGCTGTTAGCTTTCCATTCTGCAGTTCAGTTGGGTCCGTAACAGTATCATTCCATCCCAAACATACCAAGCTGCTGTGTGTCACCAATTCATGTATCTGACTCGCTATTGTAAAAGAAACAGCCCCCCACCCCGGCTGGGGCAACATCCTCCCTCCCATTTGATACCATTATGAGAAACCTACAAGTTCATATTTAGGCTATTAGGTTCTGGAATGGAAGGGTCAGTGGTTTACTTAGCAGAGCCTAAGCGCTCACTCACTGTCATTCATGATGTACTCGTTGAAGTTGAAGCCCTTGCTGCCATTGCTAAGGTAATTCTCAGTGGAATTGATGGGCCATATGACACACTTCTGCCGCAGGTTCCCCATAAAAAGCTGCAGGCCAATCAGGGCGAAGACGCTCAAGCAAAAGACAGTGAGGATCATCACGTCCGATAGCTTCTTCACTGACTGGATTAGTGCACCTACAATGGTCTTCAGGCCTGCAGGCAGTAACACACAAAGGAGCAGGTTGGAAAGGATGTAGGGGTTTTCCAGTATATTCATTGCCAAAGATGGAGATGTCTTTACAAGCATCATAAGCTAGGGATTCTCAGGAGATACTTGCACATCATTCCACAGAGGCAAGAAGCTTGAAGTTTTCCATTTAAGTATGTAACCCGCCTGAATTAACATTGCAGGAGCAGGTCCTGATGTGGAAGAGTATCCGAGCATGAATCTTACCCTCTACATGAACTAGTTTCTACTTCTCTACTACTGATACTAGATGAGGTGTCCTTTCAACTTCAGTTCTTGAGCTAACTAGATTACTAGACAAAGAAGTAGGACCCTTGAAAGAGCAAAACAAAGTTAAACATCTTTCAGGCCACTGCAAGTGTTTCAGATTAACAGAGAACAAGACAAACTTAGGAGTCACCCAACGCAGGTCTCCACTAGCTATGTGTTTGGGAAAGCTTTTGGGAAATAAGCGAGTCAGAGGACACACAGGAAGAAGGGAGCAAGGAGACAACCTTGCAACCTGTTCTGGTTTGGAAGGCAAGCCAGCTTGATAATTCAATAACAAGCTGGCGTGACACCCCAGGAGACGGTGGGAGGACCCCTATGCAGGACGCAGATGAACCAGACGTCCATAGGAAAATAAATACTTTGGCACAACAATGAGGAAAAACTGGAGGGACAGGAATAGAAGGACAGGCAGGGAGATGGAATTCACATGCAAGTCATTTAAACTCCAAGGCTGATGAAAAATATTGGTAACATCTTTAAGTGGGTGGACGCTAGAGAGTGGACACTGGTCATCATCAGACCCATCTCCCCATCCATCCACCCTTCATAAACATCTTGGTAGCAGATACCTTTAGTACTGAAGTCTTCCAAGGTGTAATCTCCAGCCTTGACAGTCAGAAGGCTCAAATCCAGAGTCCAACTCATGTGAGACAGCTGTCTTTTGCTTCTCTTTGCTACAGGTCTCATATGCTGTCATGGTAAGTTCTATTACTTGATTGCCTTTTTTAAAAAGTGGTCAGACAATTGTTTTTGCTGTTGTCTCATCCACTATTCATGTTAAATTATTACAAAGAGTATGCAATATTAGGTATATGCTGATTTATTTCCTGATTAATGGACAGTGGCTCTCACTAAGAGAGTACAGGGAGTCACAGCTTCAGCTGTTTTAGGATGGTTACATTTGGCTCAGTTGTGGCCAGTTTGACTGTTCTTTTCGTATAGCCTGAAGGCAAAGTACAGGTTCATTCCACTATTTCTGCAATCACTGTGGATTAAATACTCTAATTCTGCCTCCAAAGGGGTCAGGGGCAAAACATCAAGACCAGAGTCACTCCTAACAGATTCCTCCCAAGCTGGTAAACAGACTCATCAGATGTAGAGGAATTATGAGACGTGCAAGGAAAGCTGTCTCCCAAAGGTGGCAGTAGGACAGAAACCAGCGATTCTGCCTGTCAATGAATTACATATTCGTGAAAATATTCACGACTGCCGCAATCTGTTGTGGTCTTTGAATGAAAAGGAGTCTGCAGGCTCTGGGATACATGCCGCTCCTTCTATCACAACTCAGAGGCAGGTCACAGACAGTACTCTGTGTTTACATTCATACTCATTCACTTTGGCTGCTAAACTGTTCCGCATCACGTATTTGTTTGTTCGTCGGCTGGTTTGTTTGTTGGTTTGTCCAGAGACAATCCAGTTTTATTTGATAAAAAAAAATAATAATAATAAAAAAAATCAGAGAGCAAAATTAAGAGTGCTGTTTAAAATATAAAAATGTAAAACAAATCTGTGGGCAGGCGACGTCGTTCAAAAAAGGAAGTCGCCTTGAGAAGCATTCATGCAGCGTGAAAAGCGTGTGCAGACTAGGCTTGGCAGTCTTCGTAAATAAGTTAAAGGGATGCTTTGTGGAAGCCACAGCAAATGCAATAGGCCTTTTCTGTGGTCTGTTTCAGTAGACATCTTGCATATCTAATATATAAGCCATTACATTATTTAAAACAAGCCAAAGCATTCTTAAGACTAATACCATATGGCTGCCTTATAAGCAAGACTAAGATCAGCATAATTTTACTTGGACTACTATACATTTAAAATCTGACTATACATTTAAAATTCTTGTCTCTGTTAAAGACAGACAGACAGCAGTATCAGACATGTCTGTCAGTAGTCACTGAATGGCTTCATATTTCTTGCTCATTTTTGGGGAATTCACTAAACATTACTTAAATGTTTGGGGGAAGTCAGTAAATATTGTGTGGTTGTGTTTATTTGGAGCTGTCACTCTGACGGGAACATTTTGTCTGAATTCATGGGCGGTGCTGTTAAAGATGCTTCCTTACCAAGGAATTAATTTGATTGTGGGCAGAATCTGATGGGTCAACAGCACAGACTGGAGAGACTGAGATAGCTAGTAGACTGCAAAGCCTATAAAAACTATTGGTACTATTTTTAATCATTTTGGGGAATAAGTAAATTGTTATTCCCAAATTTACTTATTTTTTTTTTATAATAATATGTCAAAAAAAGAGAAATAAGATTTGGATCAGCCTTAGTGTTTAAATTGAGTCTCACCTGGAATGACAGAGATAGTTTTCAACGCTCGGAGAACTCTGAACGTTCTCAGTGCAGAGACGTTCCCCAGGTCCACAAACTCTGTCACATATCTGGAACGAGGGAGGATCACACACAAACACCGAATGACAAAAACAACACACCAAGAGCACAACGACAGCCACCAGGAGGAACGCCACTCACACAGCCTGTCCATCGAGGAAGGAAGAAGGAAAGAAACAGAACGGAAGACACCTAACACCAACCCCTGGATAGCACCACCCCAATGGGCCGCCAGGACCCCTTACCTGGGATTACTGAAATAGTTTTCAAAGCCCTCAGCACTCTGAACGTGCGCAGAGCTGAGACATTGCCTAGGTTTACAAACTCTGTTATATACCTGCAGAATCAAATCAAAATTACTTGTAGCGGTTTTAAAAGAAACAAGAGACAGAAAAGAAGATGCAAAGATCTATCTGGCTTACAGCAACAGGCAGCTAGTTTTAGAATTAATTGAAAATATGACAAATCACCAGTCTCTTCCTAAGCACTTCAGGGACAGAGGATTATCAGACACCACTGACACAGGAAAGTAGGGGCTATTTTTTAAAACAAATGTGAATAAACCATATGGAACTCAGGATCGGGATCAGACTCCTACTCCTGTTGAATATGAATCAGAATCTACAGAGAGGAGTCTAAAGGAAATTTGTGCTGGGTCCCACTGCCGTAAGAGGTTTGCTTATTCCAAATACAATGTAATACGTTATATATATTTCAAACAGCAACATTTCACTAGGATTAGAGTATTAAGGATTTCTGTAATCAGATATTCAGGGTCTTCTGGAATTCACATACTTGTTTATGTACTGGAAAAGTAATACATTTGTCAAAAAATGAAAATTTTGAAATGAGTGTAATTATATCTCTTGATAACCTTGTATGTATATGTTAAATTTTCTCTAACCTCTGATCCTTTGTTGGACTATCAAAGTTCAGTTAAATTTGTAGTTGGGGCCAAAATACTGAATCTGATTATGTAAATTAGTTATAGAAAGCATGCGAGTGAATTTGTGTGTGCCCATGTTTGTGTCAGATAACGTCCATTGGGTTTTTCCTTTTAACTTAATTTCCACCAAAACTCTGAATTCATCCATCCATTCATCAATCCATTCATCGATTTATCCATCCACTGGATATCCTGGTAAGCGTTGTAGGGTTTAAACCTCCATTTTTTAAAAAAAAAAAAAGAAATATTTCATAACATGGAAAAGCTATGCTCTGTCAAGACATGTACACAGAGAAATGCTCATATGAAAAGGAAGGATTAGATGCTAAGAAGCTGATAGTGTCAGATGGAGGGAAGGGACAATGTAGGGGGGAGAAAGATCATTTCAGTCATGGTGATATTAAACTCTGCAAATGCATGTACATGATATTTTTACATATGAGATGGAACTGTGTTTTTTGTTGGTCAAAATGTATAACATAGCAGCAGCGAGTCATTGCCATGCATTTATATAGATACGACGACGATGATGACTGAAGGAACTAATGTGACTAATCAGAACCTCTCAGCCCTATTGTCAAGTCACACATGTTGTTATGATATCATAAAGTAAGACCGATATGTCCCCAAGTCAATGCTGAACAAAGCAGCGTATCACCGGCCATTCCTTACGTATTTTTTTAAATGGAAAGTTTGCTTCTGTGTTCTGTTGCAGCATTTTCTGAAGAATGTGTTTTATTATTTTTTTCAACAATGGCAGTGTTATTCACTTTAATTAGATTCTGGTGAGGGAAACTTTGTGTTGTTTTTTGCATTACAATAGTTTTTTTTAAATCATTGTTTTGTTACATAACTCGATTTTTGTACTGTTCTTAGTATGTATTGACACAAATTCTTTATGTATTTGAATAAATTAATGTTTGGATAAATGCAAACAGAAGGCTATGATATATAATAAATCTTCACATTCGGTAGTCCTTATAAATTGACAAAACGATTGCCCTTGTAAATAATTTCTGATTTAAATCTCACTGCTATGCCAAAGAATTTCCCCCAGGATTAATAAAGCTATCTTATCTAAGACTGTGATGCTTCAATTGAACAGAACTTCACCTGCCTGCAATCTGTTTCATGACAGTAGTCCAAAAGCTGCCATTCGGTACAGTTCAAGCAGTTAATCAGCTTACGGTTATTCATCAAGTAGTTATGAATAAAGAAAACGCATGAAAACAGGCAAGAGCTGAAATCCTGTCTCATCAGACACACGTTGGACAAAAATTTGACATTCGTCAGGTCCCACCATTTCTGCAGCTCAGAGCTGTCGTATCTTCATGAATGGTATCCTAGCTCTCATATTTGTATCACTGGGCTCCTGACTATGATTAAACACGTACTGCTCTTTTTTCAGCAATTCGTTTACTTTGTTCACTTTCACTTACCCTTGAGAATGGGCATCTTTTTCAGCAAGGTGAGTCTCATAGTAACGCTGAACATTATATTCCTTCAACAATGTTATGCCCCCCCCAAGTGGAAAAACTAAGAATAGCAGGGCTTTCGACTTTTCAGATCAATGTGTCCCTGTTCTAAAATCATCTTGTGGTCTGGATAAGAACCCCCTTTATCAATACTATTTCTCCAAAAAAAAATGTTGAGGCAGTAGGCTGTACCAGTCCTGCAGGCCTTGAGTTTGACACCAGTGATCTACATACCAGCTCTTCAGGCACTTTTTAAGCATGGGTATGAGTATGAGGGCCAATGCGCATGTGTGTTTAGAAGATATGGAGTTTAAATCAAATTGAAATTATTAGTCTGCACAACACCAGCCAGGAAGCTCATGTTGCCTCAAAGCATCATTGCTCTGGAAAAATCAGAAGTATACTTACGCCATGGAGATCACCATGAAGTCCAGCCAATTCCATGGGTCCCGTAAGAACGTAAAGCCACCTATACAAAATCCTCTGGCAACTATTTTTGTGAGTGATTCAAATGTATAGATGCCGGTGAAAGTGTACCTTTAAAGAGAAGAACAGCAAAATTACAGGAATCTTAGGGAGGCAAACCAAGGTACAGTGTTTCAGAAAAGATATGTTTCATTACACACAATGTATAGTAATACATATCATTGTATATCATTTTTCCAATCCATCCATCCATCTTGCAGCTTCTTATCGAGTACAATGTCGTGGTGAGACGGAAGCCCATTCCACACTGCATAAGTCACTGGTCAGGGGACTCCCAGTATAGGATGTCACTTCATTACTGGGCACATATTATATCTTATACACTTAAAGAAATATTTTTGACCAATTTCGTTTACTATATTATTTGATCATTCCTATTCATTTATATGAAAGATTTTAGGTATATGTTTTTTTGTGATTTAACAAAATAAAATCACAACAATAAAACTACTGTCGAGATGTTAGTGTGCATCTCTCCCTGTTAATATGTAAGCCTGCGGTGGCTGGATCAATTTCTGGTTCATTTGAAATTTCAAGATTTGCCTTTGGGAACAATAGTTTTGTGTGGCTTTAAAATCATCAGGGACTGTTCTTCAGAGCGATCCTGAAACACTGCTGCCAGAAGTCGGTTTATAAGCATGTATCTGGAATGAGCCCACATTCAGAAATCGCTGCATTTCATTGACATAACGACACCTTTGCATGTTTCTTCCTATAGTTTATAAGCCATTCCAGCTTGTGTTGACTGGTAATTGTACTACATTCATATATTACTTTTACAAAAGAGAATTCTTAATCACAAACTAACGTGGAGAGTGAACTTAATGTGAATAAATTAGCACAATTTGTCTTTAAAAGGGCAAATGGTTGGGTACATGTGTATCTTAGGATCATTTTGCCATCAGCTTACACACAGACCTGCCATTTTAAAGTTTTCTGTACAATTTATATTCCACTAGCACTTAGGAGCCAAGATAAGAGTTTCTTAAGAAAATAGCTTCTGAAGGTTCAGAGGTGTCTCACAAAATTGCAAGGCTAAGCAGAGACATTTCATCTTCCGTGGTGAATGCACAGGTCCCACTAGCCTGTGAGTTATTAGTTAAGTTCTCCCCAAACGAGCTTGATGGGCCGAATGGCCTCCTCTCGTTTGTAAATTTCTTATGTTATTATGTACAACAGAGAAGCACGGCTGAGATGGTGCAGGTACTTACTCTACTTGTTTGGACCACTCCGGAGGATTACTGAAGGTCATAAATACACAGTTGGTCAAAATAGTACACATAATGATCATGCTGAAGAGAGTGAGAATAGCTGGTTAAGGAAACACATTATCCAAAGTCCTTATAAACAAAAGTATAGTATATAACAAGACATAAAATACAATTTCAAGTCACCTACCCCAAACAACAGAAACATAAATAACTGGACTACCGGTTCCTCAATGACCATGAATTTTTCTTTTTGTTAGGGAGATGGGGTACAATGTAGCCGGTAACCTGTTTTTTTTTTAATTAAATTCCTAATGTTTTCATAGGATTACACTTACAGATCATTTATTGAATTTACCTACATAAACTCCAGCATGAAAAGACAGTGTCTGCATCTTTAATAGTCAACATAAAGATGTGTTTCCACATAAAACTGTTTTCCACCAAGAAATGGTTAAATAAAAATGGCAGAAGAGAGCAGTCATACATTTCATTAGAAAGTACAGATGGCTACAGGATACAGGTATTATGGATCAAAACTATAATTCTACAGCAGATAACACTCTGGTTATTGGGGTGGGGGGGGGGGGTTAGGGCAAGGTATATTTAACTTCCTTCTGCACATTCTAGAGTCAGAAATTCACTCTGCATTCCTTATTTGTTCACTGGTATTTTGCTGATATGGTATTTGTGTCACACAGGCCCACAGAAAACATTCAGAAAGCTCTGCCAAAATTAAGGTCAGGCAGCATTTTGAAAGGATATGAATGTATCAAAATTTTAATAGCTATTTGCCTAAAACAATTAAATGGACTTATGATGTACAATGAGGGCGTAGCATTAAAGCGGAAGATTGTTTTCCCCTTGTTAAGTACTATAAATGTCTGCGGAGAGAAAGACAGAGAGAGAGGTGAGGTTAGAGGTAAAGAATAAGGTAAACATTACACAAAGAATTAATTCACATGTACATACCACTAAGCATGATATGGAGAGGAGCAGATACTGCACATGTGGATACACACACCAACCTGGGCTATTAGAATAACAGAAGCACGCCAATTCACAGAACAGATTACAGTGCAATGAAGGCAATGTATAGCTTAAACAAGATGAAATCCATTTGGTAAATATATAAAGCCCATATATGACCCATATAACATTAAACGTGCAGATACACAGTGAAAAATCGATAATGGCAATCGATAGAGTGAAGGCCAAGATGAGGAGGAGGCAGGGCAGCGCTGGTCCACCATCGAGGCGGCACGGCTGCAGGAGCACCAAGACTGTCTGGGTCGTCTCTCTCCGTCAGCCCGGGCCGCACTTACAGCCCATTGGAATATATCACCGTTTCATGTTTCACTTCAGTATTGCTTTACAGTCAAAGGGCTCAGAGGAACCGAAACACAAAATGGTAGCCTGGGTGAGTTCTTGGTCATAAGCCAGTGCTTTGTAGTAAAGTTACTACCGCTGTTTCAGGGCACCTGCCATACTGTTTACAAGGTGGCCTCATCCATATATATGGTGACACTGAAATGGCTGGTAACATTTGTAGGGGCACAAATAATGTAGTAGTACACTCTTACTTAATGTATTAATTAACCAGAAGCTAAGTGTTAGTTACGTACTGATACCAAGTTCATTCATCATTAATCAGTCATAATGGTTCGTGTATTCCATGCAGTTACCATATTTGTTCATGATTTGTACATGAGTAGTAACTGAGTTACTAAGTTACTTGTGCCCCCTCAAGTAAAGTGTTATCAAATTGTTTGTTATTCTAGCATATATTTTTTTTAATTACCTCACTTATTTAATACAACATATATAAAATAGATGCAGCTCTCTTCCATTTGTCATTCAGCTTCAGTCACATTTAGGTAAAATCGCTATAGACTTTTGTCCCACAGGCCATGAAAAGCTTTAATCATATTAATGTTTTCAATGAATCATCTCCATATTGTACGAAAGTCAGAAGCTAATATTCCTATACTTATGTACCATTTTTTATCTGTTCCAGTACATGCACTCTCATTCTTCGAAACACACAAACAGGCCTGCATTCATATCTTTGTGGGGACCGTCCATTCATTTATATGGGCAAAACCCTAATCCCAGCAATGACAACCTTAACTCCTACCCAGCCCTAACCATAAGTAACCAAACAAGATACAAGGCTTATGGTCCCCAGAATGTCAAAATAACAGGCTTTTATTACATAATGGAGAACATTTGGTTCCCACAATATAATACAAACATAATCCACACACACACACATACACACTAAACCAAATACAGAAGAAGACAGAATATGATTGATTATACATTCTATTCTCTATTCATCTCAGTTGTCTTTTCTTCTGGAATTGAGAACACCAGAAGCAGCAGTGAAGGGAGGACTAGAATATTCCCATCCTTCTGAAAATGCAGGGCACAGTGTTTTACCTTCATTCTCTTTCCCAGCTCAAGCCTTTTACTGGAAGGCAATTGTAAAGCCTGGCCATCGATCAAGGGATGTGCTGAGATCGGCATACTCCCGACCAGTGAGAGGGGCAGGGGTTTGTTTGGCAGCGCACAGAGAGGCGTGTCCGGCCCCGGGGTCGGGGGGGCTGGTCTGACCACACCTGCATTGGCTATGCAGTCTGAGGAGAGCCACACACAATCACTCTGTCCTGTCCTCTGCACCCAGCTTCACTCCATTATGCTTTTTGTTTCCTGCTCAGCACCGGCAAAGCAAATCACGGAGTAGTTGATACACTCCTGTCCCCCCCTCCACCAACCTGCTGCCCTTTCCCCCACCGCTGCCATCTAATTCCCTGTGAGATTTCCAGCACGATTCAGGGGAGAAGCCGACAGGAGCTGCTTTCACCCCCCTCTGCTGTGAGGTAGCAGCCGCTGCAGCTGGAGAGGAAGTGCCTGGGGACTGATTCCATTCGCACGCTCCAGACGGTCCAAGCTGCCTCGCTGCCTCACTGCCTCGCTGCCCTTTACTCTCCTTTACACTACCTGCCACAGGGGCAGCGAGTCCTCGCCAGAACCAGAACCAGAATTATGCAAAGAAACAGCTATTAGAAATATTAAGAATATAACAAAAGCAACAACAAATAAAACAATCAATAAAGCAACAAGCAAACAAACAAATAATAATAATAATAATGACTGCATTGCACTTGATCCATGTCAAAAAGTTTGATTCACATATAAGAAGGGAATACTTAAAAAATACCCTACAGACTTAAAGGTCCCAGTTCAGTGGATGTAACTTTTCACATGCCTTTTCACACACACAGCCACTCCTCTTTACCTTCACTTGCCTGTGGGGGGGGGGGGGGGGGGGGGGGGGGGGTGCCGGCCTCTGGAGGCCACCCATTACAGGAAGAGGACAGAGAGCCCAAAGGCTGAGGGACAAATCAAACCAGACCCTGCTTGACCTTGGGTTTCAGGGTGATAGGGCTCTGCTTTTTATGACCACACAACATGACCTAAGAACTTCAAGGGACCATTTTTGACATCAAAGAAAAGCAGCTCATTATGACGTTAGCTAACATGTAGCTACTTATACGGCCCAAAAAAATGGCCTGACCCGCCGGCAGTCGGTGCCTACCATATTACGAGTCAAGGATGCAGAATGATGATCCTGGTTTGAAACACTGGTTTCATTCCCTTAAGTACATTTTGGCCATTTTGCTAACTGGCATTCTGGAAAGGATCCAGCAAATGTAAAATGTAGATAAAGTAGTATGAGAATGACAAGCACCTGAAATGAGGACCCAAAAAAGCCAAAAGAACTAAATGAAATGATCAGTCTTTCCAAGATATGATGATTCTGCTGGGGACTGCAGACGGAGGAGCAGTGGCCCACTGCAGAGAGACCCACCGGGGAGGGACCACAGACTGAGAAGCCGTGTCCCACTGCAGAGACCTGCCAGGAGGGACCACAGTGTCCTAATAGGGACTGCAGACTGAGGAGCACCGGCCCACTGCAGAGACCTGCCGGGAGGGACCACAGACTGAGGAGCGGCCCACTGCAGAGAGATCCGCTGGGGAGGGATCACAGTGTCCTAATAGGGACCACGGACTGAGGAGCAGCGGCCCACTGCAGAGAGACCTGCCGGGAGGGACCACTGTGTCCTAATAGGGACTGCAGACTGAGTAGCAGTGGCCCACAGCAGAGAGACCAGCGGGGGGGGACCACAGGCTGAGGAGCAGCGGCCAACTGCAGAGAGACCTGCCGGGAGGGACCACAGAGTCCTAATATGGACTGCAGACTGAGGAACAGCGGTGCACTGCAGAGAGACCTGCGGGGAGGGACCACAGTGTCCTATTAGGGTCTGCAGACTGAGCAGCAGTGGCCCACTGCAAAGAGACCTGCCGGGGAGGGACCACAGACTGAGGAGCAGCGGCCCANACTGCAGAGAGACCTGCCGGGAGGGACCACTGTGTCCTAATAGGGACTGCAGACTGAGTAGCAGTGGCCCACAGCAGAGAGACCAGCGGGGGGGGACCACAGGCTGAGGAGCATCGGCCAACTGCAGAGAGACCTGCCGGGAGGGACCACAGAGTCCTAATATGGACTGCAGACTGAGGAACAGCGGTGCACTGCAGAGAGACCTGCGGGGAGGGACCACAGTGTCCTATTAGGGTCTGCAGACTGAGCAGCAGTGGCCCACTGCAAAGAGACCTGCCGGGGAGGGACCACAGACTGAGGAGCAGCGGCCCAATGCAGAGATCTGCTGAGAGGGACCACAGTGTCCTAAGAGGGACTGCAGACTGAGGAGCAGCGGCCCACTGCAGAGAGACCTGCCGGGGAGGGACTGCAGACTGAGGAGCAGCGGCCCACTGCAGAGAGACCTGCCTGGAGGGACCACAGTGTCCCTGTAAATGTTAATTTAAAAAATTAACATTCATTTCATGAATGCATTTTCATGAATGCAAATATTTTCAATCATTTACAAGACATTTTTAGAAGTTTTTGCTGCAATTAATTTTACTTAACTACCAATTTAAAGTAATATTACTTTAGATACTAGTTTTTTATATAATGTATGTGATGTAAGCCCTGAATTACTTATGTGATCATGCTTTAATGGTGGGGGATCCCAAGCTCCAGTCAATTTTCATCTGAGGGTACCTAGTTTAAGAAGGGAACTGCTGAAAGGATGTTGAGACATACTAGGACAGGCTAGTATTGTTAAACGTCACCAGTGCTTCAGAAAACCTGAAGGAGACACCTGAATGGGCACAGTCTCGAACATAAGGTCCCTTCTGGTGACGCATCCCAAATGAACCCTGACCAATGTCCCCATAACCCAAACCATCAGCCTCCCTGAGCTTTAGGTTTTCACTCCACCATCAGATCTGCAAAAAGCCACCTGCAAATCATTCCCCCTCAGTCACATTATCTTGCTAAATAGCTTAGCTGTTACTCAGAGAGATTACACTGAAATCTGAATCCACACGGAAGGCCAGAAAGTAGACCTGATATGAAAAGTACGTTAGATACATTAATCCTGGATGGTTGGTGGGCGTGGCTGGTTTGTAAATAGCCCAGAAAAAACAGGGAGAGACAGAGTGGGCAGGAATAGGTATAAAGGTGTTACAATCCTATCCTATTTAAATAAAACAGGGAGATTTGCATGAATCAGTCATGTGCATTTTTCAGTGTGACCCCCTCCTTCCCTTCGAAACACCAAAAAATTCAGCCAAAATAAAAAAAAATCGACTCTAAAATTAGTTCCACCCCACAATTTCACTCGTAATGCATTAAGGATGGATGTGGGGATTTACACACTGACGGAAAGCGAGCCGGGATGGACATCAGGTCGCACTGTCAGTCCGCGGTCAACGAGAGCAGAATAAGCAGCTTTCCCTCGGACGGGGCCGAGGA